TTTAGATATTTTTATAGGTTTGATGTTAAATATATATCTTGGCTATAGTATAGGTAGATTGTCATATAGACAGTAACCTTAATAATAACATTATAATATACTTATATTTCATAAATATTATAATATTGTAAGTATATATATATCTTCTAGAACCTACCTATATTATAAGGATTAGTTGTTATAAAGGTTGGTGGTAATATTCTATGATCTAATATATTGTCTACCATCGTCTTAGGCTTAATATTATTACCTTTGTTATTTAAGCTATCTAACCATACGTCCGCTTTCTATAAACTTTATTATAATAAATCAAGTGGAAATTCAGAAGGCTTAGCTAAGATATTCTCGACAATTAATACTTCCTAAGTCAATAGTATAAGGTCGATAACGGAAAGTTGGCAGGTAGTATCCTTTTATGCTACTATTTTCTCTAACACTATAGTTTGCTGCTAGACTATTGTTTCTTCTTATAGTATGGTTTCTTCCTATATAGACGGTGTTACCTATTCTTCTAATCAAGGTATATCAGCTAATATAGTCGAAGCTATTTTGACTACTATAACTTCTAAGACTTTAAGACTATAGGCTATCTCTCCCTTTGATTCCTTAGGTAGTATCTCTATATCTCTTAAAATAAGAGATTCCTACACTAGCCTTACCAAGGATTCTGTTATAGTATCCGTTTAATAAAGTATATTGTTTCTAGAGTATTAGCCCAATGTCTATATACTATAGGATTTCAGCTTATCGACCCTTAGGAAAACTCTCCAGAAGATGCTTTAGGTTTGTTTCGCTAGCTTTACCCTAGCAAGCTCCTTCCTTTTTGCTAGGCAGACGTTACTCTATACTATATAGACGCCTTTATAGACTATATACTTGGGAGAGAAGCTAGATTCTCCCTTATATTTATAATGCTTAAACTTATATAATCTAGCATAATAACCATATGTTTAGACTATATTATATTAAGTGTTGATATAACTATAATTCAAGTAACGAAAGTATTACTTAACTCTATAAGCATGATTATAGAGTTGATAGTTATAAACTATACTATCCTATATCATTCTCCTATTTATGATTTTGTTAGCTATTTTAGAATCGACAAATTCTACCATAATTAAAGATGCTACCTTATTATATCCCTCTTTAGTCAACCAGCCTATAAAGAAAATCTTTACTCTTAAGATAGCGAAATTATTTTCTATCAATATATACTGGATGGTTATATCCTAATCTTTAATATTGATAGAATTGGTGGAAATATTATAAATAATGACTCTATATATTAACATAATAAGTTCTATATATTCTCCTAATCCCTTGACTTAACCTTAGTATTTCTAAAGTTTAATAACTTCTGCTATAAAAGAAATGATTATCTATATATCTTCACTCTTAAGCTAATATACTATAACAACTCTAATAGATTTAGTTAGTCTATTCTTATAAATCAATGCTTCTACCTACTATCTAATCTTGACTATAGATAGTATATATAGTCTTTAACTGATTCTATAATCCTTCAGCTTGACTATTATCATACAATCCTAGTATATTGACCCTATAGGCTAAGTCTCGACTGTTTATATTATATATAGTAGTGAAGGTAGGGAAGCAAAGCTTCTAAACACTGATACTATCTAAGCCTATATTATTCTTACCCTCCTACTTCCGCTAAAGTTGACTATACTCGATAAAGCCATACTTAATCCAACAACATTCTTGATAAGTATAATATCTCTTTATATACTCTATATATAGTAAGTTATATCCTTGATATATTATAGGATCTCTATCGACATAGGTTGCTAAAGAACTTTGCTAGCAAACGCTATGGTAGATATAATATATAACTATACTATATTCTATGACACCTGGTTATATCTACCCCTATCTATATCCTACAATTGGTGGCAAGCTTCTCTAAGGTATATGGCGTACTCATTGATGTATTCTAGACCATTATTTACCTAAGGCCACTTAGGAGCCATTACCACCAATTAACGCGTTTTTACGCGTCAATTGGCTGTAATTGTCTAAGAAAAGACAGATAGATTATGAGAAAACTATTATTTTACGCGTTTTCAAAAATTTGTTCTGAGCTGCTTGTGGTGTTTTTTTTTGGAAACGGCGCGGGATTAAATCGAATTGCCGACTTACATGATTCAGATTCCTCCCTTCCTACCTCTGGAATCGGTGAAACCAGTGGATCCCGGTCAATGACCGCAATCCCACTCCGACCGGAATAGGCTTTTCTTTCACTTATATTCAAGACACCTCTCCGGCTTTCGAATGGAATTCAATAAACACCTCCTCATCTTCCTCAACCCGCTTATTACAAGAATAACCGCGACACGACGGGGATAGTATGGATACCTTATACGTGCCAGAGCCCTCCACTTCTGCAGGCGCCGCACAAGCGGCGTACGGACATGCGTGCATAAACTGTGCGCGCGCCAAATGCCGATGCATTTTGCGGGCGGGCGCTACGAATACTTGCGAACGATGCCACCGACTGGGTAAACAGTGCACTCCTTCCAATGCTATAAGGAAAAGCGTACACAGGTCGAGAGAACCGATCAAATCAATGTCATCTTCTAACAGAAGAGTTCAAGAGCTGGAGGAGAAATTGCTTGAGTTAACATCAGTCGTCAGAACTGTTCAGCAGGAACAACAGAACCATGGTAATAACCAAGGTATTGTGGTGGCGCCTGGTAATCAACATATGTTGGACAACCGCTTAGTGCCGGTAATGAACATGACGCCATCATCTGTTACTACTAAAGCATCACCATCGTCGCTATCGTCTCCACAACGCGAGAATTCCGATATCTCGCCACAAGGCGCAGAATATCTCGATACTTTTCGAACCCAGCACCTCCAATTCTTCCCCTTGGTGTACCTACCTCAAACGATTACGCTGCAACAGTTGCAACATGACCGACCTTTTCTTTGGTTGGTTATCAGAGCGATTTGTTCGAAGTCAATTGAACAACAGTCCGAATTGGCCCACCAGATAAGAGAGATACTAGCTCGGCAACTTATCGTTGAAAGCGAGCGTAGCGTTGATTACCTGGCTGGCTTATCCGCATTTCTGGCTTGGTAAGTCGAATGACCGATGTTCACCTTACTAATCTCTCTTTCAATAACATGGAATTATTACAATATTAGGGGAAGGTATTTCCACCGTGGAAAACCCGAGGTTGCAATGTATGTCAATATTGCGACTGCCGTGATCACTGATCTCGGCATCGACCGACCTATACGAGAAGCACCAGCTCCCGGTCCAAGCGCCTTCGGAGGACGGCAAGGCCCAAAGCACATGATTTCAACTATTACAAACGAGGACCGAAGAGCCATGCTGTCCTGGTATATCACGTACTCCTTGTAAGTGTAATAAACGGTTTCCTTTGCTCCTCGTTGTCTGCGGAAATCTTTACCCTTGCCTCTACCAATCGTTTATGACTTTCTTTCTTATATCAAGCATGTGTGTCGCCTCTGACTGTTCTATAATACTACTGTCTAGCTGCTTCGTAATTCTAGGATATAGACTGAGAGAGTGGCCCTAGTACTTCGTGTGCCATGACATCTTCTGGCAAATTTAGCTCATTGCGATGGAAACCAAGCATTGATGAGCCCATCCGAGTTCTCTCTGAGGCACTTGAATGCCCCGGAGATCTGCTGCTTATTGCCTTGGCAAACATTGCACAGGTAGCGCAGGATGCCACGAGTGCAATGACACCCTTATCAGGAGATATTGATGGGGATGCGAGCCCTATTCTTTACGTAAAGCCGTTGAATTTGTCTCTGGAGAAGGTCAAAGCAAACTTATCGTCGGAGTTGTTACAAAACAGTCAGTTTCAGGTTCGAATTATGTCTACGATCTTCTGACAATGGCTTTATTAACAGACCTCATTCTTACCTACCTCTACTACACCGAAGCGCTTATCAATGGAAATGCCCTTGTGCAGCCCTTGCCGCGCTCATCATATAACCCTACGTCCGACTTTAGACGCATCGAATACTTGAACCGTTGCTTGCGTGCAGCAAAGGCCTCCATCGACAGCTACTTGGCAATCAAGCCAGATCAATATGCAGGCATGAATATGAGTCTCATGATGTTATTCGGACAAAGCGTACAGTTCCTGTACAGGCTCTCTATCCTAGAGGACTCAGGTTGGGACCGAGACTTGGCCAGGCAAACTGTTGATACGGTTAGATGTCTCGAACAAGGCGCAGAGAGACTAGAGGCTGCATCTGAGCTTGCTGTATTGGTGGACAACGGTCCAGCCCAGAAACTCTTCTCCCGAGCTGCGTCAGGACTCAGAAGCTCAATCCCGATCTGGAGGACTGCATTGGAGCAACCCGTGCAGCCTATTGCCACGGATATACCAGGCGCGCTGAATTTTGATGCATCTACTGCAGGTCCCGCCTTGATGGACTTTTCAGATGTTATGTGGTTTGAAGATACATTTCCGTCTTGGCAGTAGGCGGCGAAAATTAACTTTCCCTCATCAAGAGCAATATCTGTACCTCCCTCGGTGATATAATTTATATCGTGCTTTACCTTAGATACTGTAGTAGACACCCCACCCCACTGTGTCAATAGAATGAAAGCCACGAAGGTTAACTGATTTTCATCATTTCATCACTTCCATCGCTCCGCTAAGATTCTTGGAACAAGAAAGACCTTCCATCCGATTCCCAAAAGTTCAGAACCTAACATCTCTCTTCACGATAGTGACTATTTTAGCCCACTGCTATCAATTATCCCTCTTAGCTTATAAAAGTACGTTCGTAACTGAGGATCTTTAGCGTGCTCCTTCAAACTCAAAGTGGAGAAGGATCAGCATAAATACCCACGTAGCACATGATTATGCGCAGCATATCTTGGAACCTGTGGCCAAAAGACCTGTGTCGTTTCTCTCACATCTTTGTTTTCATTTTGCTAGGAACGGGACTGAGATACACTGTTTGTCGTATCAATCGATACAAACATGTCAGCTGAACGCCGTTGGGACGAACGTCGGTTCCAGCTCGAGGAATCCACAACTCTAAATGGTGGCGCCCGCACAATCTTTATTGAGTCGATGACACCGGGCACAACAGTGCCTCCGCATTTTCACAGTCGCTTCACAGAGACCTTTGATCTAATCAGCGGATCTATCTCTGTCTACAGCAGCGCCGAGCCCGATCTCGACCTCCTCGAGGCATCAGCCCAGGGCCTTGCAGTTGGCAAGCAGGTTGCCATCGAACCCGGGCGGTTTCACAAGTACATTGTTGAGGGGGAGGAGCAGGCATTGCTCCGGGTTATTCTAACGCCGGGCGATGCTGATTTTGAGAGGCTGCTGAAGATTATGAACGGCTTGGATGCGGACGGAGAGCTGGCAAAAATGGGTGATAGTTTGACGCTCATGGCAGTCGTCATGGGACTAGGTGATGCCCACCTGATTGGTCCGGCAAAGGAGATGCTAGATGGCGTTAGGGTAGAGAAGAAGGACGAGATTGAGGCGCTGAAGACGAAGCTGCTCGCTAAGTACGATACCGAGGAAGCGTTACGAGGCTTACTTGTTGCTACATCGTCAGCTTAGGGAAAGAGGCCAAGATCTGAAAGCTAAGCTAGGACAAAGGAGTGTTCGAATGTAGACCTCTGATTCCTAGAGGATAATATCACGGTAAATCTTGTGACGATGTGTGATACTGACCATCGTGAGATGAGTGAAGAGGCACTTATCTTCCAAGTCTCACTATGTAAAGCAATGTTCCTAGAAACTCATGACTGAGATAGCATCGTCCATTGATTCTATATGAGAGACGTAGATCATTATTATTGCAAAAGACGCTGAGAGCTCATGTAGGTGAATCACCGTGGCTCGGTTTCTCCACCGAAATCCACCTTACTAAACTCCGAAGTTGGCGAGTGCGCAGAGACCGTACCGTAAGTATCATCATTATGGTTTAGAAATCCTCTGGATAGACTGGACTCATATAAGTGTAATCAGCTTTGATTCTTGAACGGTCCTCTCCCAAGCATCAACATGCATCTGGCCCACCGCCACACGCTCTGCCAACCCATTGTCCCACCGAACTAGCATAATATTGAGAGCCCAGTCACTCTTGTACTTGTAATGTCGCGTGTCAAAGATTTCTTCATAATACTCTCTGTCAGATGGGTATTCCAATGGGAGATGGTCTTGATAATTTTGTATAGTTGTCTGCGTTACTTCATCTTGGTTACTATGCGAAAGCAGAACCAAGTCATGACGAGGACCATGCTTGCCCTGTGCCGACCACTCGTCTGGCCAGATTCCGCAGAGCGTTCCGCAGTGGTGGCCAGCCGAATTATAAATCCAGAGAGAATGTGACATGTGGTTGCGGAAATAACTGGATAGGCCACCACCAGCCAGCTGGTCGTCCCACAAGGCGCATTGCTCCATTCTGGGTGCCGAGATGTCATACATCTCAGTATTGATAGTCTTGGCTTCGAAGAGTAGTGCTGAGTCGACTGCTGTCAGCTCTCCGAATGTATGATCACAGGTATCGGTATCGGAGTCAACGTGCCCTCCTCGCTGGACCTGTCGCAATTCAGCAGGATCCTGAATCCAAAAGCTTGCTATTTCCGTCTCCACAGTGACCCTCTGACCTGCAAAAGAATCCAGACGCCATGGGTCCCAGAAAAGATCTCCCTGCCAGGCAGTCCAACACCAAGTAGGAGATCTACAGAACAAGGGATTTGAGCTGTCAGCGGACGACGATCGAGGTCGCAATCTAGCACTAAACATCGGCCTCCAGATCAATGCCATATCAAACCCAGTTTCTGGCAAGGCGCTAGCGAATTTCCAGCCAAATTTCTCCGACAGGGCAGAGAGAATCCCGGCGAATGCAAAGAGAGAATCAACAGGGAAACTCAGTGCTTTTGGAGAATACTGCTTGATAAGCGATTCATAGACGTTGAACTGCCGCCTGAAGTCGTTTTCAGTCTCTCTCTCTAAAGCATTGGTCCTCCGCCCCCGTTCAAAGTCTGAAGCACCTTGGTCATGGCTATCTGGGCAATCTTCTGCTTGGTAGGTCGTACGGCATTGCCAGAAGACCTGGTGGTCTGCAAAATATATACAACGTCTGGGTAGCATGCCTTCTTGAAAAGTCCACGCTCGACGGCTCCACGCAGAATATTGTTCAACACTGAAAAGTTGTGGTAGCCTGGGTACTAGACCTAGTCCGTTAATCTCGACTGGTGACTGAACAAGAACACGGGGGTTCGTAACTCCTGGCAGCGTCGAGTCGACCGATGGGTCGTTTAGTGTGACAAGAGTTACAAGTGAGTTGCCGTATATTTCATTCATACGGGAAATATAAGTCGCCTTCGACGAGAGGTCATCCTGGACAATGCAAAGCGCATCTACCCATAGATAGGCTTCTCCCACAGCGTCAGTGAAGTCGATGGCATCACGGATTGCCTGTGGCAGCTCGCCCCTGACTTCCCGCAGAGCTCTGTCCTGTTGGAGAAGGCGTATGTTTGCATTTGTGGTTTTCAAGCCCTTGGAAGATCCCCAAACGTAGCTGAGCGCTAAATAGCGGGAATTCCAAGCGCACTCTACAAGCTTCATCCTCTTGACATCAATCAACAATAAGCTCAGCTGTGGCTTCCCAGCATTGTGTGGCTTTGGAGGATTGCAACTCGGTCCGTGAAGGGAAACACAACTCTTTATCCAATTTTGAATGCGAGAAACATCAACCTTCTCACTAACAAGCTGGACACGCCTAGTTGATTCTGGCTCGTTCTCAACGTGCATGAGTTCCTGGTGCAGAGGAACAATTTGAGCCAGGGTTGTAAAGTGGCCAAACATTCCATCTGGTAACGTCTCGGATGTTGAGTTAAACCAAACTTGAAGGACTGGTCTGTTTGAGTTCTCGTCATATCTCCCGAGGTAGCAGACTTCCACAGGATAACTTCCCGTCTTCCAGTGTTGTCTTGCATGACCGCTGAGCGCTTGGATCACGAGCCTGCATAGTGGACAGCGATCCTTCTTTGCGATGTCTTGGAAGGGACCTAGATTCACTGTTCCGGGATAGCCAGCGAGGTTGAAATAGTCCTCAAGTTTGATCTGTTGACATGTGTCGCAGAGTGCTGAATCCTGTTCCATTTCATAACTTCAAGTGGCTTTGTGCGAGTTCTAGTTAGTGATTCTGAAGCTTATGTCTGACAACCTGATTGAGATGTTGAGATACGTAGGCTGCCTAACGACCCCACTTGAGCAATGAATGCCCAGAAGCCTGGAGAGTGGACCAAGGGCGCTGCGGTACAGAAAACAAATAAATTTCACTCATAATTATACAGGAAAGAAGACATGGAAGAAATGTTGTTGAATTAGACTAGGTAGCTATAACAATAGGATTCGAGGCATATTTGTGTAAGGGCTATGAACTATGAGCCGTCGCGTAGCTAGAGGTGGAGACATTGCCTTTAACATGAGTTGAGCTATGTGCTATATCGTAGCTTGCTGCCAACCGCTAGGCTACAGATCTCTTGAATACGGCCTTGCTAGGAATAATATTGTACTAGAATCAGAGACTTAATTTCATTCCTGATAACCATGCATGCATGAACTCTTTTACTGGCATAAAATGCCAAGCCGCCATCTTCACATTCAACAATCCGTGTGTTTATGAGATGCTATATTCAAAATAGGAAATGTATCGAGGCGATTCTCTATATACAACTAAATAATTCAGGCCGGATTATGGCCATCTATGTCCCACATGAAACCAAAAGAACCCAAGCCTTCCGGTGGCGATCTAGCCTGCCGTCGACCTCGTTATAGAAAAAACAATCGGATCACCCCGACACCACCAAGCGCTCTTCTCACGCCGTAGCATTGAGGGGCTTGGCCGCGAAGCCGAGTGTGTTGTCGCCGCCGTGGAAGACGACGAACTGGCTCTTGAGGAAGATGTCGCCGTAGATGGCGAAGGGCAGGCCGTTGGAGCTCTGGATGCCGCCGAAGCAGAGGGTGGCGGACTCGAAGTCGTTGGCGTCGGCGGGGGCGAACTTGATGACGTCGCCGGGGACGACGGCGCTGTAGCCGCCGATGCTGGCGGTGAACGAGGGCAGCTGCTCGTTGCAGTCGAAGACGTAGCCGCCCACGCGGGCGCTGTTCTGCGCCGAGGCCACCTGCGAGTAGTACGAGGCTACGATGGCGTCCGGGAGTAGTAGTAGGGTGGTGCCGGTGTCGGCGATGGCCTCGTGGGCCATGGTCACAGCCTGGCCGTCACCGACGGAGAAGCCATCTGCGTCGAACGCCCAGAAGCCCTGGGTGTTGTTCACGGGTACGAAGGTGATGGATCCGGTGAACTCGGTGTTGTCAATGAAGCCGAAGTTGTAGTTACCGGCTTAATAAGAGTTAACAAAAGCTCTAACGTAAGCTATATCTTATAGAGAGTCTCACCTTCAGCTTGCTTTAGATTAGCCGTGAACAGAGGCATGGCCAAGTTTTCCATTGCGTTAGAGAAGAATGTCTTCTGACTGCTCGGCTTGACTGTGTTGATGGCGTCGAAAGCAAGTCCAAGAAGACCTGAGGAAGCCGTATCGTTGGTGAAGGAAGCAGACACCTGGGTGGCAGACTCGATAGCCTGGTTTTGCACGGTCACTCCTCCAATGCTGACGGTGTCGGTGTAGACGATACCGGATGAACCACTGCCATCTCCGTAGCGAATGCTCCAAGTTGCGCCGGGGACTCGTACAGCCGATGAGCTCGCGTTGACATTGTACAACTTCTGTCCTGCAACCTGGGTCTTGGGGGTGTCGCTGCTGAACACCCACAAATCTGAAGAACCGGTGTCGAAATCCAGGTTGACTGTCTGCGGTGGGGTGCCGATCTGAACCTCCGCCAGATACTCGCTGTCGAAGAGTTGCGGCACAGCAGAAACCTCTCCCTGGTCCGCATTGGCAGTTTCGTTTGTTCCCGCGCCAGCAGCCGGCTTCAGCCCAAGCTCCTCCAAGATTTCGTTCAGGAGGTCCAACAAGTCCGTTGATAACTCCACGCCGAACTTGTTGTACGCCTTTGCCAGCGCTCTGGGGCCTCGGTGAGCGCTGATGAAGCCCTTGTTATAGACCTGCTTGATTTTCAACGTATTTCCGCCCAGGACAGACACCTCGAATTTTGAGGGCTCGACGACGACAACATCATGTGTGAATTTAAGAGGGGAGGCAGCGACCAGTCCGCCGGAAGAAAGAAAGGACGCCGCGACAGCAGCTGTAACACTGTTGAACTTCATGATGGGGATATGATATGAAAGAGTGGCAGGACCCGCGCTAAGGTCGGGGGTCTCAAGCAAGGAGTGGCTTGAGGCTCAAGGAGAGGCACGAAGTTACAAACAGAGAAGGAAGGAAGGGAAAGAAGAGAAAAACAAATAGGTCTATATGATCCAGCAAGGGAGGGGAAAAGACCAAGAAAAACCAAGACTGGAGAAGAATTGGGAAAAGAGAGGAGGAACCCTAGAAGGAGATGGGGATGGGCGTTGACAAGCTTTTGCCAACCCAGCTCGGCCGGCCTTGGGCTCAATGCGCCGAGCTTCTCTAACAGCGACCCATTTGGCGGGAGGCCGTTTCATGGTGACAGATCTGGCAGCGAGTCGCTGCTAGCCTATCAGGAGGGGCACAGCAGCACAATGTCATGCGCGCTCCGAGCATTGAATTGAACGGGCGGTCGATCTTGGCTTGGTGGAACAGGTTACAAGTTACCTACCAACACGGCAGAGCCTCGGTGACTTTGGCCTGGGTATGGGACTCTGGTCTGGTGTAGGCGCGAGTGGCAGACGCGCCAGGGTACCGAGACATGTGAGGCAGATCATTCATGGAGAGCCGTGACGCGGAAACTTGGAAGAAACCCTACAGTACTCTGGCTCTTCAGCAGCGCATACAGACCGTGGCGGTGCTGGACATCTCAATTTGCTGGCTGTTGTGACGCCCAGAGAGAGATTGAAAAGGAGCTGCGGCATGTGGAGTTCGTTTGCGCGTTTGCCCTATTAGTTGCAGAGCCAAGAAGCTCTAAGGGTCCAGATAGATTCCACGAGCCGGCATATCGAATGGGAGAGTCCGGGAGTGGGTAGGCAATGGCCTGGTTCATTCTCCCTTACTCTACAGACCAACCCCCTGGGAAGAGAGACAAAGACTGGCTGTTTGTTGCTTTGTTGCTGTACGTAACTGTGCCAGATTGGTTGCGGGTTTCTATGGGCCTTGCTGGGGGGGGCTAATACCCCCACAATTTGCAGCGCCGTCATCTGAGCCAGTCGTTTGACCCCTGAGCTTGCCAAGCTGAAACGAAGCTTGAAAGAAGCTTAGTACTTAGTGCAGAGCTTCAATCTCAATCAACCAAGCCACCGTGACTGACCACAAAGCAGAAGCAACGCTGGCATTCATCCAGAACGGCTTTGCTGACATCCGTTGTTTATCTGACGGTCAAGATGAGGCCCAACGTTCCATGACAGCTGCCGTGTCTGCATTCGCATTGTGGTTGTGATAGATGGATGGATGGCAGAGCACCACTGATTCATGTCCGACCAACACGCGTAGAAACCATCAGATGCTAACGTTAGAGGATTCCACCGGTCGCTCGAACATGACTCTCTAGACTAGAGCCTCGAAATTCTTTGCGACACCGCTCTTCTTTCTTTGTTGGTTCAGATGGAGATACCCGACATTGAGATCGCCTAGCGGGTGGTGTGCAACAAGTCGGAGCGAACTGCTGGTTCAGGGACGCGGTAGGGTATATCCACCGCCCTATGTCATCGCCAAGCCTCAGAACGCAAATCACGGCCGATCAGGGGTTGAGGGCATTTCATCCCCCAGCAGCCCGTCGATGCCGCGGGGTCCTTTCTGGCTGCCTCCAAAGAGTCCTTTCCATCTCGAACAGAAGTAATTGGGGGTATTTTGGGTGTACGCATCGCGTCAAAGACGTTGAGAAACTATGTGAATTACAATTGAATCCTTCTCGACTCTCGAATTCGCGAGCCTGCGTTGCCTTGTTGCTACATAAGATCTCTCCTGAGTCCTAAAAACTGCCAAATCGACGAACCACCTCACCTGCCACAGCACGAATTGAAGGTAGGAACGTGATGTTTCAGCATCCGGCACATCTAATGCAGTGATGCACCCCACGAGCCGGAGAATATATTTAGTTCTCACTCCGTCTTGCTTCCACCCTCGTACCTTGCATGAGATAGCCGTAGAACATAGCAGCCGCTGTAGATTTATTTTAGGACGGTGCGGTGCAACTTGACTGCAGTTAAGCAAGGGAATCACCCTCCCTTCGCTGACCTCGAGTATGTCAATCATCAATATAGTCGATAGACTGTGACACTGCATTCATTCACAGCATTCTTTGAAGTTTCTACAAACCTGTTGGATTCCAATGTTCCATCCTTTGCTCAATGACCTTATTGTAATTTACTGGCCTGAAAGTATAGACTCGCGAGCTTCTTGAGCGTTCATACCTAAGTAGAGACTGCAGCTGCAAGAAAAGCCTGAAAATATGCAACAAAACGATAAGCAGCACTGGTAGGAGGCTGTAGTAATCATGCCGTTATTTACACAAGCAAACGTGCGCCGTGCCTGGAGGTTGTTCGGGAGAGCCGGGGATTTGTCATCGGAAGCCAGCAGAATCTCGGCCCCGCATTGCGGCGGCGTTGCGGCGTAAGCGCCACAGCTCGGCAGCCCAACGTCGTCGAAAAGGCAACCACACTTTACGCGTCTCTTCACCAAATCGCGTGCTGACAAGCTGTGGTCTACGCCCACTTCGACCGTGAGATGCATCTTTTGCGTTCTAGACTGTTCTGATGAGTGCCCCGGACGGCAGATAGCCTTTTCTCCTTCTCTCTTCTGTATTTATTTCGTTGCGCTTTTCATTTCTCGACGGTGTCGTCATCTGCGAATCTCAGCCTGACATTTCGGGTATCTGCATCATCATCATCGGAGTCTTTTCACAATGCCCGAACACGACCCCTTGGTCCTCTCTTTCTCTCACTTGAAGGAGTTCCCGCGCGAGAAAGATGCACTGCGCACTTTACAGAAAGTCGCTTCCTTGGTGAAGCCGATCATGCGAGCGCGAGGCTGGAAGGTGGGACAGCTGGCGGAGTTCTGGCCCGACCAGCAGAACCTTCTTGGTACGTGAGGACGACTACTACAGCATTTGAATGGCCAGCTGACAGAATTAGGCTTGAATGTCAACCGCGGACAGAAGATTCTGCTCCGTCTTCGCTATCCTGGCGATAAGAGCCAGTTCCTCCCCATCGAGCAGGTCACCGACACCATGCTGCATGAGCTGTCGCATATCGTTCACGGGCCGCACGATGGCAAGTTCCATGCGCTATGGAACCAGCTACGAGATGAACACGAGGGGCTCATACGGAAGGGCTACACTGGCGAGGGCTTCCTGTCGGAAGGCCACCGCCTCGGCGGCAGCAGACAGATACCCATGCATGAGGCACGGCGGTTGGCAAGGGCGGCGGCAGAGAAGCGCAGGGTCCTCACGGCGGGCTCTGGGCGCAAGCTTGGAGGAGCGCCCGTACGACCTGGACAAGATATCCGAAGGGTGATTGGGGATGCGGTGGAGCGCAGGAACAAGACCATGAAGGGATGCGGTGATACCCAGCTTAACGAGAAGGAGATCCAAGACATCTCAGACAACGCTACGAGGAACGGCTTCAGGACGCAGGCCGAGGAAGACGCTGCCAACGAGGCGGCGATTGCACAAGCTCTATGGGAGCTGGTCCAGGAGGACGAGAAGGCGAAATACGGCAGTTCCTACGTCCCGCCCACTGCGGCGAACCCGGAAGGTAACGGCGGTGGTGCGTTTCTGCCAGATCAGAACGGAGCCAGCTCGTCGGGGACGAGTTCAGCGCCGCCAGTGCCTGAATGGTCGCGCCCACCACCACCAGCCAAGGAGGAGGTAGCCAAGCCGCCTCCACCGCCGAAGCCGCAAACTCGACCAGTATCGCCGACACCGACAAACGGCTGGACCTGCAATATCTGCACTCTGCATAACCCTTCCAACTATCTAGCCTGCGATGCCTGCGGAACAGAACGGCCCGAAGACGTCACCAGAACGCTAGCCCAGGAGAGGGCATCCAAGCGGCCGAGGTCAAACGTCCCCGCGACGAGCAGTGACCTGACGAACTCGCGCATCGTGACATTCAAGAACAGCAAGAGCGGGGCCAGCTCGAGCGCACCACCTGCGCCGCCGGGCCCCGCGTATTGGGAGTGCTCATTCTGCGGCAATGTCATGGAGCGCCAGTGGTGGACGTGCTCTCAGTGCGGCGTGATGAAGAATAGCTCGAAATGAAATGAGCCATGTGACGAACTGGACCTTGGAATGTGCATGACTATCACGAACGGACAGATGGCGTTTTTTTGGGTGGATTGGCAATAATACCCTTCTAGCTAGACATGCATCGAAAATGACATAATTGCTAAGCTGAAATGTCCAGAACGGGTCTCTGAGGTACCCATAACAGGGGTTGAATCTCGACTTGTCAAAATGGGGTAACGAACACGTGTGAAGAAACCGTTGTCAAAAATTCGCTGCACATGTAAACTACGAATGTCCTGAGTCTCCACATAAGAGATGCCTGCTCGACCCTTGGAGTTGAAGGGCGACGCATCACACGAGGCTACCCGTGAGCCTTAGCTAAGCATGACGTCGACTGCCGTAATCCAGGCAAGATCGACAACGATTCGAGTTAGGGTCTTAGGGTCGCTGGTGCACCCTGCTAGATCGGGCGGCCAAGAGCTGTCCATGGTAGGCTTGGCTGTAGATCGTCGATCGACAGTGCGTTCTCAACGCCCGTTTGCAGGCCCCTCACACGCTACGCTTGCTTACCAGAGACGCCCGCTGCGTTGTTTTGTGGTTTATGGATATGCCTCGACGAATGGATGTCCATATTCGCGGCAGCGGATGAAGCACCAGATGCACCAAATTCACCGTCTGCTTCTCGCTTGGTCTATCATCTTCGCTGCGGTGCCTGGACTTACCGCGAATGTAGTAGCGTCAACGAGTTTTACCTTCCCCTTTCCGAAACTCTGTCGATGTAGTTGTAGTTGTGCTGCAATCCAGGTGGCCGGTCCCACTCCCGCACACCCACACCCACACCCAATTCCCAGAACAGGGGCCTACGAACCCTTTTTTTCTTCGTAGGCGTCCGGCAAGTGAGCGTTAGTGCCGGCAGCTTATTCGGCCTTGTGCCTCCTCTCGTCATTCTTCCGTATACTATGTACTCACGTACTCACCCGGGAACTGTAGTGTACTGTAGACAGAGGCTTGTGTGTAAAAGTCGTGTGGGTGGACATTGGACCCCTGAACGGTGGAGAGTGGAGAGGAAATTCTCATTCATCCCTCCCAAAAATCAAGGGTCCTCGGAGGAGTCGCCGAACACAAGGAAGCACATGCACGATGCGATATCATACTGCATGGCAGTCTCCTCTCCAGAGACAAGAGACCACAGGATGGAAAGCTGCCTCCCGTCTGTTTGTCCGAGCCGCGCTCTTTTCCACTGGGCGTTGAGAGAGGCGCCAGGTAGAAATTCGCCTCCGCGACCACATGCTTCGCCGGTGTCTGTATACCGTTAGAGAGATGAGTGCTTCACCCGAGAGGCGACTTGAGCCTCCGTTGGATGCGGAGAGAAACACGGTGAACAATTGATTGTTGACGACACCCTGACGAAGAGATCCCGGTGCTTGCCCAAGGCCTTATGGAGGTTTGTCTTGGCTCTTCACGGAGAGGTCATGAACCGTTCGAGGATGGAGACCGGGGGGGGGGCCATCGTCATCATCTCGCTGCAACTCGCCCGCGTTGGGCTAGTCATTGGGACCCCGCTTCCTCTCGATGCATGTCATGTCATGTCGCAGCAGGGGCGACTTCAGTGAGAAGAACAGAGCTGTGGGGCGCTGGTAGCCCCGTAGCCCCTGTAAGTCCCCTGCAAAGCCCTGTGCTCGTACCTAGATGTAGGTGCAATTGCCCCAACGAGGCGCTTTTGGGTCCCCCATCAATCATCATCTTCCCCCTCAAGTGCAGGGCCATCGAGCCATCCAAATCAGTCGCCGCCCGTCCGTCTCTCAAATGTCGTCATGGGCTTCGGGGGCTCCTCCCCTCCAAGACCAGCCGCCACCGGCTGGCTCCGTACAGCATAGTGTAATACCGTAGAGTACCTGCCATTCATTACGACCTTTGCGAGATGGAGACTTTCCTCTTACTATAGGTTCGTAGACCAGACCAATTCAAACGAATAGCTTCACCTTCGTCACTTCCCCCATTCTTGTCTCATACCATCGTGACTGCTTTGGTAACCTCAGAATCCAAAAAGGTTGATGCATCCATTTCGCGGTAACATCTCAAGCTCAGGTGGCTTCACTCATCGTCCGTTTTCTTTGCTTATTCTTTTCATCCCATTAAGCTCTCAAGCTTTGCGGGACGCTGCCCCGGATTCTGGAATTTAAAGCCTGAGTCGGGTGTTACGCTGGGGCCTGGTCTAGACCTTGCTAGACCACCACATCTACAATACCTCTCTTATTGTGGTGACACCGCCAGAAACATCTTTTACGTCAAATCAAACTTTCTATACTTCCTATGCTTGAGAAGAGAATTCGACTGCAAGATTCTCTTCCAGCATTTGTCTACTTTCCACTCTGAGCCAGGACCCTTGCTCGAGCCTCAATAGGCCAGCAGTCCTTCTCATGCACTCCGCGCGCACGCAATGCTGTCCGGCGACACCTCCAACCCAGCAGACGACTATGCTGATTCGACACCTTTACCGGTAACGATGCCTCCTCCCGACTCCCGGGACGAGTCGACAGATGGCTTGCCTCTGCGTTCGGCAGCAAGCTCTTCCCGAGACGGCGAACCCAAGGACCGACCACGCCGCCGAGCAGAAAGCCTTGTTTCTGCTCAACAAGATGGCAGGCCGCTACCTGTGCCCATGCCGTCTCCTAGTCGAGGCCGATTCGTGCGGGACTCACCAAGCAAATCGTCCGGTAGCCTAAGATCAGACTCTGACAGTCTCTTCCGACTTTCGATGCCTTCTATCACTCCTGGCCAACTGGCCTTCTCCGCCCTGCAATTCTTACCAGTACCGTTGCTTGTACTCAATAATCTCAAAACGGTAGTCCTCGCAAATGAAGCCATGGGAAGATTACTGGGCCTCGTTACAGAAGATGCAGATTCGCAGCCAGATGAGACGCCCTCGGTCCTAGAAATATTGAGGGGCCAGTCACTATCACAGGTCGGCATCGACATGATCCAGGACGGTAGACCCGTGTGGGTTGCATGGGAGGCCTTTCTCGACTCCTTGGTTATCGAGACTGACTCAAAATACACCGACGGTCCGGATGGAAAGCCGGATCAAACAGAGAAGCCCGCCACATCTATGAGTGCGAACTCCACGGAAATAAAACCTGCCGTCGAATCAGCAACCCGGCCTCCTCCTAATTCCGCCGTCGAAGTCATTATATCACGCAGAGATCAAAATAAAAAATTCGACTCACACGACAGACTCAAGGGTTCCCATTTCCAGGCTCAGGCAAAAATGATCATCTCAGTTTGGGAGGTCGAAGATCACCAAGTCTTTTACACACTGACCTTCACCCATAAAGAGTCTTCTCCAAGCAGTCCGCCCTTGACTCGAAAATCAACTGCAAAATCTAAAACTCTGGAAGTCGCCGATCAAAGAACAATACCTGCCGCAAATGCTGCACCTACTACGGCTTCAAGTCATAGCTCATCATCTCCTTCTTACATCACTAGCCCTGGATCTGTCTCTCTCGTGTCGAGTCCCTTTCCGCCCATGGGCCCTCCAGCAAAGATCCCCATATCAAGTACACCATCCATACTTCAGAAAACTATCATCATGAAGGATGCTCTGTTGGACAATACTACAATGCCCATTTTTGCTATGTGGAGAGATGGTAGTGTGACATTTCCAAATGCTGCCGCCCGCCGGTTGTTTCGCAAGAACGCCGACTTCGACCAAGCCAGCGACGGTTTCGAGCTGCTTTCGAATTGGGCTGTTTACACCGACGATTTTTCAAGACAGTTGGAGCCTGAGGAGTACCCTATATCAGTTCTTGTCAGAACACAGACGCCCTTTGATGGGATGCGAATCGGCATGCTTGGGGCTGATGGTTCGAAAATAGTCTTTGACACGTTGGGCGAAGCCATACGCGACAACACCACTGGCGAATTTCTGGCAGGCGTTGTGACTTGTCGGGATGTCACAAAGATGGCTCAGGAAATCACTCAGATCAAGGAGAAGGACGAGGAGAGATTCAAGCTCATCTGTGATACTATGCCTCAGTTGGTGAGTTTGCAGAAATATTTCATGTCTTGGTTGCCAATATGTCGACTGACTGATCATTAGGTGTGGACGACAACACCCGATGGCATGCATGACTTCTTCAATAGCCGATGGTACGACTACACAGGTCTTTCGGAAGAAGATTCGCTCGGCTTAGGCTGGAAACACCCTTTTCATCCGGACGATATGCCCGAAACAGTTAGACGCTGGAGTCACTCATTGCGGACTGGGGAGCCATATGTCATGGAATATCGTTGCCGAAGTAAGGAGGGCGAATGGAGATGGATGCTTGGACGGGCTTTGCCATTCCGGGATCCAGAGACTGGAAAGATCGAGAAGTGGTTTGGTACGTACATGAAGTGCTTGTCACAAGACTCTCCTAACTGACAGAATCTCAGGAACTTGTACAGATGTTCACGAAACCATGGAAACTAAAGAAGCGGCTAGAAGAACGCGACAACAGCTTCTCAGCGTTTTGAATCACGCCCAGGTGACAATATTCACGGTGGACCGCAGTCAAAACGTGACTATGCTCGAAGGTGCTCTACTTTGGGATGCGGCCGGCATGGATCATGAGGCCGGGTCTCGATGGTACATTGGAAAAAATGTCCACGATGTTTTCGGTCATCTCCGGCCTCGATTGCCGCAGGGTGATAATGCTGAATTCCTGTCACCCATAAAAGCCATTATCAAGGGAGAGACCTTAGAAGCCGTCCGGGAGCACGGCATTAGTAAGAGATCTCGGATAGCGGCTAACATGAGACGATCAACTGACAAGTGTGCAGGTGATCGAGCATACAGGACACGCTTCCTGCCAATCTTCGGGAAGAGAAATACCGATGGACGAATTACTGAGAGCGCCGTCGAAGGAGTGATTGGCGTCATCATGGATGTCACAGAGCTAAAAGCTAAAGAGGCGGATATAGCCGTACAAGCAAAGGAAAAGAGACAGCTTGTCGAGAATGAGGCTGCTGCCAAGGAGGCAAGCAGGTTAAAGAGCCAGTTCCTTGCAAACGTAAGCTGAGAAAGCGTTTTTCCTTTCTCACAAGACTAATGGTTCTTAGATGTCACACGAGATCAGAACACCAATTACCGGCGTCATCGGCATGGCTGAACTACTCCTTGATGTCGAGCTTCACGAAGAACAGCGCGATTACGCCGAAAACATTTATCGATCTGCTAACGCTCTTCTTACCGTCATCAATGATATTTTGGACTTCTCGAAGGTGGAATCTGGACGACTCGATATCGAGGAGGTTCAATTCTCCATGTCCGTTATTGTTAAGGATGTGAGCAAGATGTTAAGTTTTGCAGCGGAGAGGAAAGATCTCGACTTCCAGAGAGACATCGACCCTGATATCGAAAACGATCTCATTGTTCTCGGAGATCCAGGTCGCGTGCGCCAAATTATTACAAACTTGCTGACCAACAGTATCAAATTCACCAGTGCGGGCCATGTCAAATTCTCCGTTTTGAAGGAAAAGGAGGACTTGAATACTGTCGAAATCAGATTTGTGGTCGAAGATACTGGCATTGGCATCGATGATGAAGTACGCGCGCGGCTGTTCCAACCCTTTAGCCAAGGCGATGCATCCACGGCTCGCAAATTTGGTGGAACTGGTCTTGGTCTTACGATTTGCAAGAATCTCCTGGAGCTCATGAATGGCAGGATGACTTTGGAGTCGACCGTAGGAGAAGGGACTACTGCGACATTTTGGATACCTTTCCAAAAGCCTTCGACATCGCAGTCGGCAGAGCCAGTACAGATGAATCCTCTTTCTGACAGACTACAAGCCGAGATGAGTGTTTCTTGCGCTAGCTCTGATCATGAGCAAGGGGTTGGCACGCCACCGACTGAACTACTTCGCCCTTCTTCGATGAACATGGCCAAATCGCCCCGGCGACAGCGATCGGTCAACTTACCGTCTCCAGTACCTTCTGAGAAGAATCTCCCAGCAGCCGAACGTTCCAAGCTTCATGTTTTGGTCGTTGAAGACAAGTGAGTCGCATCGCCACCGTTCAATTTATCGGCATGCTAATTGGAATAGTGCTATCAACCAGCAGATTGCCCTTAAAACGATAAAGAAACTTGGTTTCAATACATCAGCTGCCTGGAATGGAAAGGAGGCACTCGAATACCTCACTGCTGCCAAAGACGGCGATCAGAAAAAGCCAGATATCATCCTGATGGATGTGCAGATGCCTGTCATCGATGGGTACAAATGCACACACGTACTTCGACACCACGCACCTTACAACTCTTATGTCAATGATGTACCTATCATTGCAATGACAGCATCTGCGATTCAAGGTGACAAGGAGAAGTGCAAGAAGGCAGGGATGGACGATTATCTAGCAAAGCCAGTCAAGAGTAGAGTATTGGAGCAGATGCTCGTTCGTTGGAGTACTAGCAAGCGGACGGAGTCTCCAACGCGATCCACCTCACATGCATCTAATTGCTCTGAGAGCGGTGATACTTGTGCCAATGCCGAGATTCCGGCCGTTGGTCTCGATCGAACGTTTGATACATCAACACTGGAGGTTGAAGGCGTCCTGGAAGGTCGCAGATCCAATTCGAGTCTGCTTACGCCTCGTGGTCCGACACGGGCCGGATCGTCGGAGAGTCAGATGCAGTTGAAGATTGATGAACTCTCCTTGGCGGCTCCAGAACCACACCACGAGTCACAGGATGAGCATACTAGGCGACAGAGAACGGATGAGAGGGCTAAGCAGGGCCGCGACGATAAGCTGATGCACGCCGCGGGCGGTGCAGGCGAGTCGCTGAAGCATACGTCCGTACAGAGTGGCGATTCGTTGACCGAAGCAAACGTGGAGAAGTTTACGCAGCAAGAGTCCAGGCGACGCCGCAAGTCGTAGGGTGCTATATCTTGATGGCATCCCTGGCCAAGACTCTTAGTCAGTATTGGTCTGACTCTCCAGGGTGAGAGGTATAGTCATGCTGGACAGCTTGAATATTGACGGGTCGGACGGTGTACAAAAAAGCAGCAGGTCATTACATGCATTTTGGCATAGACAGCATGATCGGCGTTCTGGGAGTAAGAAAACTACGAGAGAACAAACGGGTTTGGGAAGCGGTTGGGTGGCATATGATATCCGCGAGTTTAAGCAGGCGTATTCCTTGTACTAGAATTTTGCAAGCGGGTGGTTTCACCTCTGGTGGCAGCGTGGCACACACATATACCTAGACATGGCCGGTTAAGGTTAAATTGAATAAAATACACACTTGAATAAGCACTCTTGCACTCGTTGAACATAATTGCACTGGACTGTAAACAGCTGACTATGTAAAGTGTATGGGGTTGTGAATAGTGTTGCAAAGTCATTTCAATACGTTGAATACTGATGATGTTAATGCCTACTGACTTTGTATACCCAGCCGGGCTCAGACTCTGTACGTCATTCGATGCATAGGAGTGACAAGGCATTCTTGTGTCTGACGTATAGACTTGCATTGTGCTAACTTGAAATGTGGTTGGTGTAGACTGGAGCGGGTGAGGTGGTTGCTGGGTCAACCGCACGCGAGTGGGTGTGGACCCGTCAACAACTGGCAGCCGGGGCATCGGCCGTCGATCCCCTGCAAATCGAACTGCTGCTAGGATAAACAGACAGCACCCTCACAAAAAGCAGGCTGCACTTCCATCGACGGCCAGACACGAATCTTGCCTTTTGCAAGCCCAGCAAACAAGCACCTCATCTCTGCATTGCCCTTTCGTCGCTGCAATGCTCCTCCTTCTTCGTTATCTTTCAACCCACTAACCAACAACAGCATTTTATTTTCCCCAGCTACAACAACGCGACACCCAGCTATCTATCTTCATCGCCCAACATGGATCCCCAGGCCTCTCCCCCGAAGCGGATGACTCGAGCCAGAGCTGCAGCAAAAGCTACTGAGTCATCGGTCAAGACCACAAAGATCGTGACTGCCGCCGCAAAGGCAAAGACCACACGGGCTACATCGGCTACCATCGCCAGCAAGAGAAAGACCCGAGCTGACGACGTCGACACCGAAGACGAGGACGAGCTTCGCCAGACGGAGCCGGAGCAGCCTCTTAAATCAGCAATGAAGCCAGCCGCCAAAGCCACACGAGGCCGGCCCAAGAAGGTCGTGGAGCCGGAGCCCGAAGCAGCACCTGCCCCTGTGCGTGCGACTCGCGGGCGGCCCCCGAAGAAGGCCGCTTCAGAGCCCGTCAAGGAGGAGCCTGTGAGGACTACGCGTACACGCGCCAAGAAAGTACAGACGGACGAGGAGGCAGACGAGATCAACGCCGAGCCGGTGAAGAAGACCATTCGCGGCCGTGCGGCGACGGTCACCAAGCCGACTGTCAAGAAGTCGGTCAAGTTCGAGGAACCCGACAAGGAGAATGTGGTTCCTGCCTCTGCCGCGACCAAGGGCAAGCCTGCTGCCAAGCCTGCTGAGTCTACAGCTGGCCTTCGAGGCAGGCCTGTTCGAAAGGCTGCTCCTGCTACGAGGGCAACCCGAACAACTAAATCCTCGGCTGCCGAGAAGAAAGACAGCAAGGCGCCCACACCTCTGAGCCCTAAGAAGGTTACTCAGATGCCTGTTTCAAGAGACTCGGACTCTGAGGACGAGCTGGGAGCTACTCCCAAACCCACCTTCAGGTCCCTGATGAAGAGCCCTGTCAAGGCCAGTATTGGTGGTAATGCTCCCAAGCTTGCGCCTACATCAACCCAAGACGATGATGATGAGGCAACCACTACCCAGACTTTGGATGCTGCTCCATCCATCATTCTTGGCAGCCCGGCCCGTCGACCGCCTCCCTCTCCGTACAAGGATGCCATGAAGTCCCCAGCTAGAAGAGTGGATAGTATCCCTAGCCTTGGTCTATCCACTACCAAGAATGCCAGCAATACCACCCAATCGCCACACAAGGCGCCTCTGCTCCAGTCACCTGCTAAGCGACCTGCCGCGTCGCCCATGAAGTCTCTTGGTGTTCAGCCCTCCGGAGCTCGGGACCAAAGCCGCTCGCCAATGAAGCTGTCGTTGCTTCAAGCTTCTGCTAAACGCCCCGCTTCGCCAGTTAAGAGCGCCATTGCGTACAAAGCCCCTGCTCCTACTATGCTTTCCACACCACTACCTCCAGCAGACGCGTCTATGGAGACCAAGGAAGGAGAGGAGGGTATGGACGAGATGGAAATGGCCCTCAATGAGATGGAGGCGGAAATGATGCCTGACTCACCCACGAGACTCCGCTTCCCGGGCAGGCTGTCTGCAGTCCTCCCTCGTCACGCCGATCCTGTTCTCAACGAGGCTATGCTCACCGTCCTTGAATCAGGAGAGGGAGACGATGACGTAGAGGGTCAAGCTGTAGAGTCCATCGCAGAGACGGAAGAGATTGTCGAAGATACTGGCGACCCAATGGAGGTGGACGAGCCTGAGATGGAGCAGCCCGGCTCTGCAAGCACCACTCCTCCTCAGTCGCCTCCAAAGCAACGACTTGGCATGTTTGACTTGCGTCAAAAGGACCTGGCCCCGTATGACGAGGTTTCAGAGTCTGAAGACGAGCTTGCGTCGAGTGGCTTGCGGAGTAGATCCTCACCATCTGCTATTCTGGGCACGCCTTGCCCTGCATCTTCCAAGTCAACACGGAGTAGGACGTCGAATGTTTACTCGAAGAAGCTCCGCACTTCCAACTTTGGCTTTACGCCTCTCGCTAAGCAGCTGAGTGAGTGGACGGGTGCCAGTCCGCTGAAGTCGGGAAGCCAGCGCCAGACACCCCCTCGCACCGCATCAGAGGTCGAGAACGCTTCTGCTGAGGAGTCCCCTGTGAAGAATACGTTCTTTGAAGACGAGATGTCTGTGCGGCCCGAGCCAGTGGATGAAGGATCCGTAACGCCTGAGGTGGAGGAGCCGGTCTTTGATGACGTTCCTGTCATTGAGGAGGACATGGCTCTGGCAGCGGAGGCGAATGAGATGTCGCTTATGGAGCCTGAGCAGGTTGAGGATCTGCTGAATCTGGACACGCCGGATGACAGCATGTCGGAAGCAAGCCAGGAGTACGGCGATGAGAATGCGGTCCCAATCGACCCTGCTCTTCAGAGCGGCTCGGACCCTATGGTCCCTCCCGTCACACCGAAGCGCATGGTTATGCGCGAGTTCCACACTGTATCGAAGGTGCCTCTGAAGGCAGCGGACGACTCAACTCCTCGTCCAGTTCTGAAGAAGCGCAGTCACAGCATCTCACGCCTTCCTGTCCAGCGACCAACACAGGGCCTCACTAGGAGTGCGACTGTCATTTCCTATTCTCCCATGAAGAAGAGACGGGAGTCAACCGTCTTCGACACCGTCGACGATGAGGAGGAACAGCCACGTGCTGGGTCTGCTCCTCCTGTGACGCCGACCAAGTCCGAGGTTGGTTGGTCCACTGCTGGAACTCCCGCCCGTACTCCTCGTCGCGATGTAAACCCAGCCCTGCTGAGCGGCGCGGTTGTGTTTGTTGATGTCCACACTAGCGAAGGAGCCGACGCGAGTGGCATCTTCGTGGAGTTGCTTAGCCAGATGGGAGCCCGCTGCGTCAAGAGCTGGCCGTGGAATCCCAGCAGTCCCCCTAGCAAGGAGTCGGCTGCTTCGGGCTCGCACAAAGTTGGCATCACCCATGTTGTCTACAAGGATGGTGGTAAGCGGACTTTGGAGAAGGTTCGCGAGAGTGACGGAGTCGTCCAGTGCGTTGGAGTCAGCTGGGTTCTTGAGTAAGTGAGAATCGTCTTCAATGCTAGATCATGACCTAATCAATTACGTCTAGCTGTGAGCGAGAGAACGAATGGCTTGATGAAGCCCCGTACTACATTGACACTTCGTTGGTTCCTCGTGGTGGTCATCGCCGCCGTAAGAGCATGGAGCCAAGAGCCTTTGCCAACCTCAATGGCATGCTTGTCCCGACTCCCGTGAAGAACGGAGGTAGCGGTACTGCTCGACAGTCTCAGTCTCTTCCTGCTACACCGGTCAACCGCCGTGACAGCGCTCTCTGGATGCATACTCCAGAGGACGAGGATGATGAGAACCATGATCAGGATGGTATCCACGAGGATGACTGGGAAGTTGCCGATATGCTGACTCCCGTCCCCGTTACGCCTGCCCCCGAGGTTATTGCGCGCTTTGCATTGAACGTAACTCCGGAGACACCATCCACTGATATTGACGACGAAGATCCGCTCGCAGCGAGAGAGGTGCTGATGACTCGCACCTGTCCCCCGAAACCGAGCGCATGCCAGCAGCTGGGAGAGGGCATTCTGCGCAAGGAGAAAGACCAGGGTGTGATGATGCGCCTAATGGCTGCTCGACGCAAGAGCTTGCAGTTTGCCCCTAAGATCGGAAGCCCGTTGGCGAAGGCTTGGAACTAAGGTTGTGGAGTGACGTGTGGAATCTGTCATTGACTGTACTATATACCCTTCTTAAATGATGCTCAATGGAGCGAACCACTCGTTCTGGGCCGGATGGAATATCCGGATAGGAAAGACATTCGGAATGGCGCAAAGGTCTGGGGTTTTGTAAGGATTTTGGTATTTTTGCTTGCTGTAGCTTCTCGTCCAGAAGACGCGTGATGGCGTTATCTTCTACAAGCTTAAGTTATTGCAAGCCTTTTGACGAACAACTGTGTGCCTCGTTGACTTCTGAGATTTTTACCCTTTTCTAACGTGCTGAAGAGAATAGACCAATGGTAGCTCCTGTGCTAATGCAACTCACAAGCCCCCTGCTCGTCGGGTTTCGGTGGGATGACGCGGCAGTCGAGACTAGACTCCAGCTTTGGGGTTCTTATCTCCTTTTGCCACTGTCACTTCTGATAAGCTCATTTCAACATTTATCTCATTGAAGGCTTTATAGACCAAGGTCCCGCGGTCGTTTTGAGACATTTGAATTTCTTGTATCGATTATGACTTTGTATTGAACATGCGGCATCTGCTTTCTGCTTGCCGCTTCGGCTTGCTAATTTCTCAATGCGTTTACGATGTCCTTGCCACATCTTCTGACGCCGCTCAGAAGCCTCTACCGTCCCCCGATGACGACGACCTGCAGAGCTCGCCAGGATGGCGACTGAACTTCTCGTCGTCCGCGCCGCATCTGTTCGCGTCCACATACTCGCTGCTTCAGCAATGGAGCAACACGATGTTCCCCAACGGTCATACCATCGCGGCCGTCGAGGTCCCGGTGTACACGCTCTTCTACCACGGGCGCTTGGACGGCGAGCTGCCGCCGAGCCCGGAGTGGCTCGCCTTCGACGTGGAGATGTCGTACGGCATCATGGGCAGCACGCGCAACTCGTGGCTGCTGACGTACCAGACGACGCGGCCGGTGCGGGCGCTCTGCTTTGACGGCGAGTCGGCGGCGCTCATGGGCCTCGGCCAGCTGGACACGCAGATGCTGCACGTCTTCGGCAACGTCTCGGGCCCGCCGCGCCCGCGAGACGGCGTCTTCCGCGGCCTGTGGCAGGAGTACGCGCGCGCCGAGGGCCTCTGCGACTGGCTGCTGGCGGCGGGCCTGCGTGGGCCGGGCTGGGGGTTCGAGGGCGTCGTCCGGATGAACGCCGGCTTTGAGATGATCTGGTGCGACTTCACGAGCCCCAGCCTGCGGCTGCTGACGCAGCTCAACATCACGGCGCCACAGCTACCGGAGGACGAGCGCAATGGCTTCGACCCGTCTGATCCCGACCGCCGGGCAGATGAGAACGAAATCGGCGATGATGGTCCGCCTGCATGGTTGGCTATGCAGCAGAGGGGAGTCGAGGCAGAGACGACGTCGTACTACAGCCTGCCGCCGGCGCCAACGAGGACGGATCGCGCTGTTGATCCGTCGCAGCCACCAGCGCCGCCGAACTGGCGCCGTGATATGCAACGAGAGCCATTCCTCAAGGCGCAGGGCTGGGGCTGGTTCGACAGCGCGACATGGCATTATGGCTCGTCACGGAACGGCCCAGGGCTAGGCGAGACTCGGGCCAAGGTGCTAGGCTGCGGTGTGCTGAGTTACTATTCTCCACGGTTCGTGAACCAGTCCGGCAACAGGGCCATCGAGGAGCGCGCATTTCTCAATCTGACCGATGACGGTCTGTGGAAAGGGGAGGGCGAAGAGGGAAATAGGACACAGGCTATCAAGCTGCTGTCGCGGCGCAGGCGCTTTCACCATCTGGGCGGAGTCATTCCCGAGGAAGCGAAGCTCATGAGAAGCAGCTCTGAGCCTTTACTCAGGTCGCTTCTAAGCGGAGACTCGAGCTGTACGGGTGCGGACTGGACGTTGATTACGTCGGAGATTGTGCAGAGGACTACGAAGCATCTTACCACGCTGGCAACCAAGTTTGCGGCATTGCCACATGATACAGGGAATTGGACCGCGCTGCACGACTGGATGGTGGCCGTCCGGGCGGAAACTCACTTGTTTCTCATGCCGTTTCTTCAATATCCAGCCAGGCCGCAGCTGGAGGACTGGAAGCCACATTCACGATTGTTTAACGAGACGTACTCGCGTTGCAGGTACAGATACACTAGGCTCATCGCGCCTGCCGAGGGTGTGACGCTTGTGCCTGAGGAAGAGGATCTACGCTGGGCTACTGAGGAGACCTACGGTACCGTGTGTGCCGTGCTAGCGAGGATTGGCTTTGAGGTCGAACGAACCTGGGTAGAAGTATTTGAGAGGGAGGATAAGGATAGAGGAGAGGTAATAGAAGCGCAAGTTACGAGGTGGGTAGATAACATCGCCGAGCTCACGGCATGGGTTGGCTGGGAGAGCGAGTTTGTGGGCTGCAAGGAGGTCTGCGCGTGGGATGAAAGGTGTTATATTCCAATGTGGCCACTACTTCAGTGGCGAGGCAACTTTGGCAGAGGTCCGCCACGGAATGGGACTGATCCGCCGCGCAGAGGGGGACGACATCGTGATCCATCTGCGCCGGATGGTCCGCCGCCCGACGGACCTCCTCCTTCCAATGGTTCGCACTTTCCGCCTCCTCCTGGCAATGGCTCGTTCCCAGACTTCAAGATGCCGCCTCGCGGGCCGTGGTGGATGAGCGATGACGAAGATTTGTGGGAGCCGAAGTGTGTTAAACAGGAGTATATCATGGGAGGATGACGACCGCCGTGTTGGTGGCCAAATGGACGCGGAACGTTTTTAGCATGGATGAGTATACTAAGCAATGATACCCATAGAATCAGTATTGAATATACGCATAATGATGACACTCGCTTGGTTGAATGGTAATGGAATACTTCATCGTACCGAGGCCGGCCGCTATATACCCTGTATCGTCGATATAGACCGATCAACTGGCAGTGGCGCACGGTCGGTATGTCACAGCAATGTGGGCGCGCATCGCCTTGACGGCGTCACCATCGTGTTGTTTCAGCAGCTCAGTCGCTTTAGGCTTTGATAGGTCCAGCTCGTCGACCTGTGGAAGGACCTCGAATGTCAGCTCTGTTGTTGCTTTCTCTTCATATCTCCATCCCTCTCACGGCGTGCATCCGAGAGGGTCTACCAGATCTAACTCACGAGCAGGGCAACATCGGCGGCCTCGACCTTGACCTTCTTAACCTCCTTCTTCTCCTCGGGCTTCTTGGCAGCGCCGCCGAGGCGGTTCATGGCGCTCTTGAGACCTTCCTGGTCAACGTCCTTGGACGGGCCGGCATCGTCGTCACCGCGGGGCGCATCGAGCTTGGCGAGGGCAGCAGCGGCCTTGCGGTCCTCGGCAGACTTTGCGGTGGATGTGACTTCGTCCTCGACGTCGCCGGCGGTGGCGCCCTCGACGATGGCGGGTGGTTGCCTCTCCTCGGCCATTTTGAGTGTTGTGTCTTGTCGGATCTTGACTTTTGAAGGCGGGTGGACGTTGAAAGCATTGGCGGGGCAGCTATAAAAGTTGCAAGTCTTGCTGGCAGAATGCCGCACAGTGCTATTTTGAGATGGCGGCTCCTTTAGGAGCTCATGCTGGTATATTTAGTATACAGTGTGGGTACATTCTTAGGCACTTCCCGTAGTGGCCCCAGCATTCTGAACATTGCGTAGACTAGACCGTAGATATCCGGTGGATAAAAAAGTTATCGATATAGGTGATGTTAGTCATGCAGACACATCAATTGGTGACGCTCATTGGATTATGCCTTGCAACGTTGAAGCTGTCATATGATTGATTCTTTAGATCTGAGAGAGAACAGGAGAGCTGGCCTTTTCAGAATCGTGGACTGACAGGTTCCGGGCAGACTAGAACGCTCTTTGTCAGTGGCCGGGTTTCTAAGTTACACTCTTGCATTTTAAGCACCGCCGTTTCTCATTCCAACATAAAGTCTCTTCACCAGCCCCCCGGAAGACGTATATCATGTCTTCTAGCAATGGTACGCAGGCTATTGCCTCAGGTTCCTGGTCGCCAGACTCTTGGAGGACAAAGCCCATCAAACAATGCCCTGAGTATCCTGACGACAAGGCGCTGAACAAGTCCCTGGCCGAGCTGAAGAGGCTGCCGCCCATCGTCAGTCCCAAGGAGATTGTGAGGCTCAAGCAGCACTTGCGGGATGTTGCTAAAGGAGAAGCGTTTCTGTTACAGGGAGGAGATTGCGCAGAGTTGTTCGATTACTGCGAGCAGAATGCCATTGAGTCAAAGATCAAGCTCCTGTTGCAAATGAGCTTGGTGCTCATCTGGGGTGCCGACAAACGGGTTGTCAGAATAGGTCGCATGGCTGGCCAGTATGCCAAGCCTCGATCGAGCCCCATGGAGACGGTCGATGGGAAGCAGGTGCCCTCTTTCAGGGGCGATATCTTGAATGGCTTTGCGCTGGACGAGCGCGAGCTGGACCCGGGTAGAATGGTGAAGTATGTGTCATACCTCAAAAGGCGGAGAGACAAAGCTCAGACGGCTAACACCTCGCGCAGGGCGTATCACCACTCCGCAGCAACTCTCAATTATATCAGAACGGCGATTTCATCAGGAATTGCCGACTTGCATAGACCCCTAGATTGGGGCCTGGGCCATGTTCGTGACCCGAAGCTGAAGGCCAAGTACTCTGAGGCGGTACGATTCCTCACCGACACGCTGCGCTTCATGCACACCATTGGTGCTGCCAGCAGCGACAAGCTCGACACTGTTGACCTATTCACCAGCCATGAGGGTCTTCTACTAGAGTACGAGCAGTGCCTGACCCGGCTCCTAGACAATCCTTCCAAACATGCTCCCCCATCGGCCACCGGCCAAACTGCCCCGGCACCTCCTGACTCCAAGGAGTACTATAATACCTCGGCGCACTTCCTCTGGATCGGCGACCGCACGCGGCAGATCGACGGTGCCCACGTCGAATTCTTCCGCGGCATCGCCAACCCCATCGGCATCAAGGTCGGCCCCACGACGCCAGTCTCCGACCTGCTCGAGCTGCTGCGGACCCTCAACCCGTCGCGCGAGCCGGGCAAGATCACGCTGATCACGCGGTACGGCGCCGCCAGGGTGGGCGCCCTGCTACCGCAGCACATTCGCGCCGTCGAGGACAGCGAGTACACCCGGTGCGTGGTGTGGCAGTGCGACCCGATGCACGGCAACACGCAGTCGACGGCGGCGGGCATCAAGACGCGCGATTTCCGTGACATCTTCACCGAGCTGCAGGAGACGCTGCGCATCCACAAGGAGCAGGGCAGCTACCTGGGCGGCGTGCACCTCGAGCTGACGGGCGACGCTGTCACCGAGTGCCTGGGCGGCTCGGAGGGCCTCGAGGAAGACGACCTGTCTACAAACTACACGAGCTTCTGCGACCCGCGCCTCAACGAGAAGCAGGCCCTCGAACTGACGTTCCTGATTGCGGACCACTACAGGAGCGAGAGGGCCAATATCCCAGTGTCTTGAGGAGTTGATAATATCCAGGATCGTATTTGCTGGGGGGATTCTCAAGTGGCGTTCGTCTCAAAAGTCAAAATCGGAAATCATTGCATGTCTCTGCCATTCATGAGCATTACTCACATTCTAGTCTAGGCGCAATCGGTGTTCAGTTTTCGTGCAGTGCTTTTCAAATATGCTTCATTTCGCCCATCATTGTCATCCGTAGGGAATATATCTTGTATGTCTAGAACTGCCTGCTGCTTGCGCCCACTGCGAGCGAGCTCCTCCCCAACATGAACTAGAAAATGAGCTGTGGCTTGTCATCCATAATCATAACCTCGTCACGACCGCCTTTTCCACCCGTCCCGATGTCGTCCGTCACAACGCACTAATCGTCTGCGCACCCTCGAACGCATCACCCGGCTCGAGAGTCTGCCAGCCCTTGACGGAGCCGGCCTCGACACAGATCATGTCCTTCCAGCCATCCTTGGGACCAAAATCAGACATGCCGGCGGCCTTGTCGACCCACGGATTCCAGACGACCAGGTCATCAAGGTTGTCACGCACGACACTGTAGACCTTCTTGCCGCCTTCCTCAATGACCACTGGCGAGCTGGGACCCTTGGCGGGCGTGTAGATGCGATCCGTCTCGCCCGTGATCGTCACCGCGGCCGACTGCTTCTTCGCCTTCAAGCTGTCCACCTTGTCAAGGTACTCCGAATCCTCGAGACCCGTCACTTCGACCTTGGTGATGTCCTGAAGGGGGGCTGTTAGCAAGCGCCTTATGCCTAGACTCTCTAAGATTAGAGTAGGACTTACTTTGACCTTGAAGTATGTGTGCATCAGCACCTGGCAGTCAAACGGCTTGTCTCCCTCGTTGGTAACGATCAGGCTTGTGGTCAGGGCCTCGCGGTCGAGGGTGACGCTGTAGATGAGGCCGAAGGCATATGGCCATTGGGCCTTGGTCTTGTCGTCGAGGTTGGCGGAGCTCAGGCCAAAGTCGAGCTTGACGGAGAGGTCTGCGGTTGTAGCATTGGGTGCCGACTCAGACGTCGACTTGCCCAGAAACTCCCAGTTCGAGGTCCGTGCAAAGCCGTGTTGCGGCAGCTTGGAGGTCGCTTCGTGGTCGGGGGCTTGGCCGAAGACCTGTGAAGGGGAAGAATAACACATCAGTTGGGCTTGATACTTCATCAATGCTGTGATATGCCTTTTGAGGTGCACACATAAGTCTTCGGGGGTTCCGCTCAACACCAATTCTACAAGTCTATCGCAATATACCTTCGAAGTCGAGAAAAATAAGACATTGAACTCACCGGGAAGACCAGCGGGATACCGCCGCGCACTGCCTTGGTGCCATCCAACTTGGCAGAGTCGCTCACCCACAGCTTCTCATCACCTGTGTTATCCTTCCAGCTAATGATTGTAGCGCCGTACAGGAGAATCTCGACGCTCTCGCCGGTGGGCAGCACAGCCGTCACACGGCTGTTAGCATGCGAGATGCTGACCTGGGCCTGCGGTGGCAGGCCGGGGGTACTGGCCAAAGCCGAGGGCTTGTTGGGCCGATCGACCATTGTGTGATTATCGTGTATGTTTCTGGTGGTGGAGAGAGGTAAAAGCTTCGAGGAAGGTTAACGTTGAACACAATATTGTTTCGCTTACTCGGGATCGTCTTCGTCTATAGTGAGAAATGGGTCGGAAGAGGTCAAGCTTATATAGTCCGCCTAAGAGATGATCGGGATATATATGTCAAAACACTAGATACAGAATGAGGCGACGTTTGGCATCCGACAAGGTTGCTTTGTGAGAACCCTGGGAAGTCGTGGGTTGATCTCGCAAGTGGTGTCTGGCCTTGATCTCAATGGCGGGGTACCGGTGCTGACCCAACTCTATGTTAAGGTAGTCTCCAGTAAGTAAGCTAGGAGGGGTATTTTAAGTCAATGGGCGTTGCAGACCACCAGCCTAACCAGTCCGGGGCCGCCCCGATACGGCACACCAATGCATCACCTGAAACACGACCGGCTGGAGTGGCTACCGTAGATGGCTCTCTATTGGGATTGAAGGAGGTTGCATCTGATGCACCTCAACATGGTGAAGTAGGCAGGCAGGCAGACAGGTAACTTCTCTCAACTCGAGGCACACGACGATAGCCTCACCACAGTTTACGCACCTGAAGTAAGAGGATTCGGGCTTGGGGATTCCAGCATTGGTGATTCAACTTCGCAGTTGGAAGATGAGCGTAAACTCCAGTCATTATTTCATATTTTTTGTAGTCCTATGCTGAGTCTTCATCGTGACTACAGCTATGCATCCTAAGTGACCTGTACAGTACTATGCCGCTACAAAACGCCCAATACGCCGGCTATCCGTACAATGCTAGTTATTTAATTCCGTCCTCGCCTCTCTGCCTCGAACAGCTCTCTCTTCATGTCCATAAACATGTCTTCAACCCGGTAAACTTCATCTCTTGAGAGCTCGGCGGAGCGCAATGCGCTCAGGCCGCCTTGGAGCATGCTCATGATCTCTTCGAATTTGCTTCTCGCGCTTTGTGCGGCCTCGACCTCCATGTCCTGCACGGCCTCTTCAGATGGCACGGGGGATCCATCATCTGCCTCTTGGTAGTCTTCTCCTTGTTTGGGAAGCGGCATCTCCACCATCTGCTCACTTTCGGCTAAATCTTCCTTGCGGGCTGTCACCTGAGAATCAGCGCCATCCTGCTCCAGAGCCAATTGAGACTGGACGGCCTCGTCATCTGTGTTCTCCTGGCTATCTACTGGCTTGTCCTCAAAAATTGCTGACAGGCTGAGGTCCTTCTCATCGAAAGACGAGCCTTGGGTAGAAGCCTCCGGCTCACTGGATGCTTCGTTGCTTTGCACTGCAGCATCTAAAGCGCCAAAAGTCAGTACATGTAAGCATTCAGGTGATACAACCACATTACCTTCGTTTGCCGTGACTTCCTGGCCGTCAGGGGCGATGACTGATCCATCGCCAGTACCCTGACTCCCTTGGCTCTTCCGCCTCTTGCCACCACTAGTTTCCTGAATCTTAGAAGCTGCTCGCTTTCGCTTTCTGAATCGACCATATTTGGTGCTCTCAGACTGGCTGGATACAACTGCGTCCTCAGGAGGAGTCGAGGGAATGTTGGCGGAGCTCTGGCGCGACCTTGATCGCCGCGGTCGTCCTCGGCCCCTGGTTGAACTGCCTGCGACAGTGATGCAATCGAGAGTTTCTGGTTCTTCGGCAGCTTTTTCAGGAAAAACAGGTGGAACATCAGCCATAGGCCCTGGCTCTCGCTTTCTGCTCTCCAACTGGACGACGATTTTCACGAGGCTCCTTTCATCGATGTCACTCATGTCGTAGGATTGCTTAGGTTCTTCAACGGCAGAGCGGGTTGCCGCGACTGATTGGCTTGACTTGCTCTTATTCTTTGGCGTCGGTGGGAGGGGACTGGTGGGTGCATCCATGAAGACATCGTCATCTGACCTTGGCGTCTCTTGCGCAGTTCTTGACCGCAAGACTCTTGGAGGAGTAGATGGATGATTCAAGGAGGCTTGCTGAGGTGATTTGACTGTCTTTGGGGATGCTCTTGGAGCTGGCAGCTCGTCTGGTACGATGCTTTCCTCGACAGGCTCTACCTCTACTTCCACGTCTAGATTTGAGGAGATTTGTTCTTCACCCAGCTCCACTTCAACCTTCTCATCATCAACAATCTCGTCGAGTTGAAGTCGTTCATTAACTTCGTCAAGTTCCATTGGCAGTGACATTGCCATTGTTTGATGAGGTACTGGAGAGCCACTAATTGGCGACGAGGAAAACTGCCATTCGTCGAGGACGCTGTTGCTTCCGGATCGTGCCGACTTGAGCTCTGATAAGGAAGGAAAGCTGCGTGGCTCTGGAGGGGATGAAGGTGGATCAGCCATTTCCTGGTCATTTTCGGGCAGTTCCAAAGGCTGGCCTCTTCGGGGGGTTGGCGTAGACGTGATATAGTCTTCGTAGTCCCTTGCCGGCTCAGGTGTCATCGCCCGTTGCTCAGGTGACTGGGCACTTGGAAGCTGAGGAGATGAAATAGGAGCGGTGCTGATCTTGCCAGGTCCTTGAGGACTGGAGTGAATTTCGGGAAACATGGCAGCATTTTCTTTTTGCCGCTCTCTGACTTCCTTCTGACGATCCGTCAAGAATTGGGAATCGTTAATGGTGATGTTAGATGGAGAAGACTCGATCGCAGCAAATTGAATTTGTGAATCGTCGTGGCGTAGCTTCGGAGTTGCGCTCCGCCGTGCAGGCCTGGAAATCTTGGACTTTGGAGTGACATCAATGCTCTTCTTGAAGGCAGAAAGCTTCGCCGGTGCAGGAGAGGCAGAATGACGCGAAGGCGGTCGAGAGTGTGGTTTGAGATCAGATGGCGTCACAGAGACATTGACATTTACGTCGCCCTGTGAATCGAGGAAGTCCGGTTGCTGGGCGGCTGGCTCACTATTTGACAGGCTCAATCCGGGAAGTACAATGTCAACGAAAGGATGGAGGGAAATCAAAATTTCCCGTAAACCTTCCGGATATTGCACGCTGTCCACATTGCTGAACAATTTATTCCACATATTGGATGTAATGTTGACAATGGCACGGTGCTTGCTTTCGAAAGCCGCACTCAACAGCGCTTCGACGGATTCGAGCTGGAGCTCACCTGCAGCATTGACATCAATTAGGATGGCGCAGACTTTCTCCCACAGATCTTTGATCTGCTTGATGTTAGATTTGGTAAATTTTCAATCACTCCACCGAGGATTTACTTACCGAATCGACAACAGGGGATGAATCCCGGTTGCCGAATTGTTTCTCCCCATCGCGAACCCAGCACGCAATCCCGTCTTGAAGCAAGACCAATGTCCTAAACACCAGATGGCGATTACAGCGGCCCAGGAAGCTGGCCACTGCATCCAGTAGCGGTATAGTAAATTCATGAGCATCAAAGGTTGGGGAGAGCGTGTACATTTTCTCCAAGTGGAAGGTCATCAACTTGTAAGTTGCGTCGAACGGATCGAACGAAGCTGTTCGTGGTCCTGATAGGGTTGTGCCCCAGAGACGACGCCGCGCAGCTTCCACAGCTTGTCTGTCTCGAGGATGTGATGACACCGAGATAAGTTCCATAGAAGCTTTGAGCAGATTTGCGTGCACATCACCCTCCGCAGTTGACAACAGCTCGAGTACGGATTTCGCCATGTAGTCCACAACAGCGATCGCAAGGCCGGCATCTCCAGTCTCTTCTCTAGCACGGTTACACAGGCCGTTGAATAACCTCTGCCAATGTCCCCATGGAAGATTTGGAGTGGACCTTAAACCGCGCTCTAGAATCTTTGCTACATCCCGATATTCATGGCCGACAGGCGCCTCGCCTCCAGAGCTGGTAGTTTGATGGCTATGGTAGCCCTGATCCCAGCCTGATAAAATTCTCTCTGAGACAGCCACCCACGGCCCATATGGGCACAATGCATCCATAGGTAATGACTGTAGTAATTCTTGTGGAAGATCAGCCCGACCTTTCTCGAAAAACCCAGTGAAGACACTTCTGATGAATTCCGCAAAAACTTCATCATCGTCAACACCCGGGGGAACAGAAGAGAGAATAGAGAAAAGGTGGTAAAGAGGAGAGCAGGCCGAGCCTTGGTTCTTGCTCGGACGGTGCTGAGGTGTCGAAATTGCTTTGATTCCATCTTGTTTGTTCATCAGAAAGACCTTTTCGGTAAACGGCAGTCTCGGCGATTCTATCATAGTCCGGAGGAAGTGACGGATGCTTTCCAGGAATTTGACTGAAAGGCTTGGGTCTCCATCTTGAACAGGCCCAGGTCCCTTTGACCATATTTTAACTAGCAGGTCGAAGGTATAGGCCATGAAGGTCATCGTCTCCGATGATATCATGACTTCTTGCTTTCCAGCTCCAGCAACTGCACCAATAAGTGCATGCCATAGCTTGTAAAAGGGGCTCTCCACGTCTGATAGTTCCAGGAAATTGATTTCTAATATCGGGCCAACGATTGCGAAAACTCTGGCCGCATTGCGCCTAATCCATTTCGCGTCGATTGCAGGCAATTCATCTGGCTTAACAAGAGGATTGTCCATGACATGGTCTTCCTTCCATGTCCGCGTTCTTGAATGATCGAACAAGCCAGTGAGAATCACAGCAGCTTGAACCATGTTGTCCTGGGCCCGGTCCTTTTTCCTATCCAGGAACTGATCCATTAAAATCTTGAGGCATCTATCCCAGTAGGTGTCTAGCATGGCGGGATTGCCTGTTGGGTCGAAAGTGTAGTAAAAGAGGTTGCAAATACAGCCTAGGAGGACCTTCCGCAGCTCCTCGGGGTGTTTTCCGGTCCAATTTCTCTCCAGCTGTTGTATAAGAGGTCGGGATAGAATATTCAATGATTTCGCCGAGAGAGCGCGTTCGTCAACCTCCAGCCTATACACAAGTCGGCACCAAGCGAGATTTGCTTCTCGCCTTACTTGAAAGTCTCTACCGTTGAAACATGCCTGCATGATAGTCATCCACGGAACCAAGACACCCCATTTCTTATCCGAGTCGGCGAGAAAGAGGATGACGACGCTCCAAATCCGCGGAACGGCAAGCTTTTCTGTGTCATCATTGGCCATCTCCGTAAGTCTTTCGGCATAGAAATCGATGTACTTCTTCTTCTCTTCTCCTCGCGTGAACTTCAGGATGTCAGTCACCCGTTTGGTCACTGTCTTCTCTCTGCCGAGGATGAACGCAGCCTCTAAGCCAAGCCCAATGGCTGCAGACCTGATCTCTTTCATAGTGCTCAGCATATCCGTAAACATATCAAGCATCCAGTCCGAGTGAGTAATCATCAGCTGCCTGCATTGTTTGACAAGTCTCTGGTAGATGCAGATGCGATACATCAGAATGCTCTTGCCCTGCAGATGCTGTTCAATCTTGTTGAGGGATGTGACCAGGCGTCCAACACGGTCTGAAGTCATGACCTTGGGAGAAAAGTTCTGAGATCTCATCAGTTGCATCAAATGCCGTGCAATTTCCTTGGAAGTTTGGCCATCCTCGAATGATCGAATACAATGATCTACAATGAAAATGCCGAAATCGTTCGGCAGTGTAGATGCAATGCCTGGGAAATGCAGGAATGTATTCAGGAGGGTCAAGGCAGCGATGATCAGCTGCGTATCGGGTGATCCTGTGGCTGTCTTGGCTGTGATGTCGCGTTGTATGAATTGTGTGAAAAGGCTCATCCTGTCTTGCAAGGCAATACGATCAGGGAGGCTATTCGATGCTCTCAGGGCCTCTACAAGTGTTCTGTATGCATTGAGCTTCGACAATCCATCAGCACCAGCGAGCTGCTGGATAGTTGATTCCAGCATGGCGGCGATGTTGAATTGATCTGGTGTGCTTCCATCGAACTGGCTATTTGGCACTGAATCGAGGGGATTCGCAGCTAGAGTCGCTTTGAGGATTGATTTCACTGGTCGTGATGAACTCGACGGGAGAGAAACTGGAGTCGGCTGATGCTTCCCTACAAGTGCCTCCGCATACACAGGTGGCTCTTTGTACTCTGCCTGGGCAGAGAATCCGACCTTCTTACGCCGCGAGGTGGAAGACGAGGCCGGATTCGGTGAATAGACGTTCGGAGGAGTGTGGAGACTCGCTCGAGGGTGAACGGCCTGGGATGCGAGTATCTGCCGGGGCAGCGCAGCATCGACTTCGTGAATCGCCTCTCGTGGTGGCGTCGGCGGTCTGGCTGGTAACGACTCAAGGACTCGAAGGATGGCGACAGGTTGAGATCCCATTATTACGAGTGCCCCGTGCAATGGGATATGTGCATCAGCACCAGCTCCAAGCACCTGCGAACCTTGATTACCTTGGGGTCTCGGTCATCAGCAATCTGTACTCGAACTTCAGACCGAGGAAAGCCCCAATGCGTGAACGGTGTTGCTGAATTAAGTCTTTGGTATCAGCCCTCGAGGTTTCCGAGCTGTAAGGAACAGAATGAAGAAGATGAATATGCTGCCCTTCAAGATGAGGGATGGAAAGGAGCGTGTGCACAGTATTCGACTGACTGACGCTGAATTTCCCAGCCTCCACAAGCTTGGGCCGTTGAGACACGCTCTTTCGCGGGAAGACGCGACCTGCGAGACGTGCCTTTTCGCGGCAAGCACTTTAGTTGACCCCACACTCATTGGCGCTAGCCTTTCCCCCTACTTACAGTGCTGTGGTAGGATGCGCTTACCTGAGCCGAGTCACGGGTAGCTGCGCAGGGATACACGTAAAATGGCAGGGATGAGAGGTCCTCTCTTGGCTACTCTTGGCTACTAGGTACGATCTCAAGCCACAGAACCTCTTGAGCCACACCATCACGGAACCGCATACACACCGTGGTCGACCGGCCTGGGTACTTAGCTTACCAAGTCAAGCCGTTGTTCAGTCCATCAAACCACCCCTACGCTCAACGCCATATGGTGTAGGGCACACGATTGTCCTTGGACCAAGAGCTAGACATCAAGAGTTTGGAGTTGTATCTCAGTTCTAACGCCGCTTGTCAGCTGGCTTCTCCGCCTCCTAAGAAGTCTTTTCTCACTCGGTGTACATGGCTTCAAGGTTGTGCGATGAGCTGAGCTACTAACATCCTGCAACGCCATAACAATCCTCGCCATCCGTGTCCTTCATACATACACGATCTCGGATTGCTGAGTGGACGATTCTCAATACAGCATGTTTCGCTAAGTTTCCCTGGCCAAGCATTGTGAATTTACGAAGGCCGAGGTGTCTCAGACAACCGACACCAGTTGAGCCGACCCACCCACAAGTCGTAATGGCTTTTTCCTTTCCAGGTGGCTCTGGCAGCCTCACTGGCTCCGGTGAGTCCACTAATAGAAGGATATGCCATACATAGCTTACCATGTCCCAGCCAAGTTGCAGGCCGTCACTAGGCTGGTACAGAAGTTGAACTTGGATCTGGATGACACGAACTTGTCTGCTCAAGGTATGACTTTCGCCATACTGGCAAAACAGGCGCTAACTTGGCCACAGATCGTGACGCTGCCTTGGAAGAGCTGAAGATATATGGGCGAGATCCTAGAAATGCCGATCCTATCTTCACAAAGGAGGTATGAGCTGTCATCACCCGTGTATCATCTATTGCTTACGAACCTTTGATAGGGCATCACAATGCTCACGAGGCATGCATTTGACTCACCATCACCAATGACGTCTCGAAATGCTCTTAGAGTACTAGCAAATGCCATGTTGCTGAAGCCAAGTACGAGGCAGACATTCGTAGAAATGGGCTATGAATCCAAGTTGTGCGATGTCATGAAGCGGGACAGTTTTGATGATGAGTTCCTCGTTTCACGAATCTTGTTTCTCACAACCTATGAGACGAATATAAAACTAGAGCCCATCATCGAGCAGTACCACTTGGCAGAAATCATGACAGAGAGACTGGCCAAGCATGTGGCCGTCGTCCAGGGCCAGTCGACCAAGGCTGGTAAGGCAAAGGCCGACCCGATGGAAGACATGGCTCTGGCAGAGATCTTGAGGCTCCTCTTCAACGTTACTCACTTCTGCAGCGAGAAGGTCACCGCCTTCACGCAAACAATCCCTCATATATTAGTTCTCCTACTCAAGCGAGATCTACCCACAACAAAACCGTTGGATCCACCTTTTGGATCTTTGGTAAATACTCTCATCAACTTGGATTTATCCAGCGAAAATGTACAGTCGAGTTTCTACCCAGAGAATGACCCAAATGCCATTGCTACGAAACTCATCGAACTACTCGACCTATCGTTGAAGCAGTATAAAGATAATGACCTGGAGCAGACGGTGACACCACTTGTCGGTGTCATTCGCACAGTCCACGAGAATGGCCCACACGATGTCCGCCAGTTCATTCGGAATAGACTACTTCCTACAGAGGAGGACCGTAATGAGGTACTGGGTCACAGCGAGACGCTGGCTTCAAGACTACTCCGCAACACAACAAATCCACTTACCCCCCAACTACGAGAACTCATCTCGCATCTTCTCTATGAGATGTCTGACAAGGACCCATCCAAATTTGTCGAACACGTCGGCTATGGATTCGCCTCGGGCTTCCTCTTCCAGAACAATATACCGGTTCCTGAGAGTGCGTCCGGAGGCAGCGTTGATGAAACGAAGAAAGCATTCAATCCGATCACGGGACAGTTCCTTGACAGAGAGAAGTTTGCAGATGTTCCTGAGATGACAGACGAAGAAAAGGAGAGAGAAGCAGAGAGACTCTTCGTTTTATTTGAAAGGTTAGTTGTATCACATTATGATCACAACAAATGTATCGTGCTAAACGAACACCAGACTCAAAAAGACCGGTATCATCGATGTGGAAAATCCAGTCACAAAGGCGTATCAAGAAGGCCGCATTCAGGAGCTTGACGACGACGAGAATGTTGTGGAGGATCTAGACTAATAGAATTAAGATCTCGTATGGCGCTGTTGTAAAAATGAGCATCCCAGTGTTCTGTAAGAAGAGAACAGAATTTCGCGTGCTTGAAATAAATTGCCCACCAACAGCAGGTCGGATATTTGGTTGACTTGACGTAGAGAGGAGATACAGCGGTGCCTAAGCGTTTAAGCCTTCTGCGCCTCAGAAATCCTGCAAGATCCATTTAGCTTGAATACTCTTAGTAGAGTCCAGAATTTATTCTCATTCATTCCACAAGTTTCTTGTCTTGGTACGAAACAAAATACTTGACTTTGGGTTTTGTAAATTTAGCAGGTAACAGGGTCAATGAAACATGTGGTAGGCACGGAGCGGGTGTTCCCCGCGTTGGGTAGCTTAGCGCATCGAAGCCTGGCAATTTTGGGGCACACAGGTAGGTACTTAGAGGTGTTTACAATCCCTGCTTCAGTCGCGACCTTGAACATCACTGCACTTATATCATCGACACAGCATCATTGGCATGGTGTATGTTCTGGTGGTTTAACGCGACACAGTCATTTGACTTTCCGGTATTTGGGGATTCATTGCCTTCCGTCCACGACTCTCCCTCGTAGTCGCGCGTCTCGTGGCAGTCGCGCAGCGTTTCTGGTCGCATCATATTCAAGCCACCACCTTCGTGTGTCGCATAGGCGCTTGCATATTAGGAGCTTTAATCCTACCTTCCTTGCGCTCATCCAGACAATCTTGGAAGACACACGCATTCCAGATAAACACCATCGCCATATTCTCTTGATGCGTTTGGGGCTGTTAAAGCAGCCGTCGCCCGTCAAAACTGGCCGAATATTTGAGCCCGCGTTCGCTCGTACCTCGCGTCAGCTCATTACTTGCGCGATCAATTTTCGGCAACCATTCGCCTGCAACCCCAGCAACAATGCCTGGGCCGGTTGAGAGCGATATGTTAGTATAGCCATATCGGCCTCACATATACACGCTGATAAAAACATCTCCCTCCTCACCTTCTTGCACTTGAGCTGACCATGTCAAGTGAGGATCTCGAGATCCCCTCGGTGGAGGGATTCGACGATGATTTTGAAGAGGATGCCATTGATAACGGCTCCCCTGTTCCACCCAACGCTCAGGGAACTGTGGTTCGTCTTGGTGATGAGCCGGTCGATGAGCCCGAGGTAAACGATGATGAGGACGCTCCAGCCGCGCCAGTTGCGCCAATGGGTCTCGAGAAGCCAGCATCTAAGAAAAAGGGCGGCAGGGCCTCGAAGGGTGCTACGCCTGCCAAGAGTACGGCCAAAACCCCTCAGAAGGCGACTGCTAAGACCCCGAAATCTACCAAGCTAACCAAGACACCATCCTCTGCGACAGCATCGAAGAAGCGTAAAGCTCCTGAGGCGCCCATCGCTGCGCCTCCTGCCAAGAGGGGAGGTGGTCGTGCTGCAGCGAGTAATGCAGCTGCTGCAATCAAGGAATCTACCGCAAAGCGTGCTAGAGCACCGAATGGAACTGCCAAACCTGTATGTGTCACGCTTCCATCAATATGACCATGTGCTAACATACCAGAAGGCACCAAAGTCAAATGGCACTCGGGGCCGGAAGAAGGCTGCTCCCGTCCCAGGACCTATTTTCGAAGAATACGAGGTGGAGGCAATTCTTGACTCTACTGTTGATGCTTCTACAAAGGAGCACATGTTCTTTATCAAGTGGAAGGGCTACGATGATAAAGATAACACATGGGAGCCGAAGAAGAATCTAACCCACGCCGCCGAACTAATCAAGGAATTCGAGAAGTCTGCTAAGCCAGCGGCTACGGCTACGGCTACTGGCAAACCTCGGGGTCGTCCCAAGAAAGCCTAAAGGAATGGGGAGTTGTATGAAAGTGCTTGCCACTACATACACCCGATTTGATGGGGTGGACGACCATATCGATATTGCTGTGCTGGTCTGGGGATAGCTCCTCATGGTTGGGTCAGCAACGGATGGCAATCTTGCGAGACGAAATCCTGCTGCATTGGAAAAACAAATCGCAGCTTGACTATGGATTATGTACAGTATGCTCATCTGTATCACTAATGTCATTTACAAAAGAGGAAAAGGGCGGCACAGGGCTGAGGGGAATGTTCTGTCCTACGCAATAAGGAAATGTAATTTGTCGCATTTCAGTGCACGTGTTTACTCCACCGTGTGGTTGACCTGGGGATCTGCATCATCTGTTGGCGCCAAAAAAAACCCGCCTGCAACACCAACAGCTTATCGCAACCCGCGATCCCTTGCTTCCCAATCCGGCGAAAAGCTTATTTGGCAAGTTGGCCTCTCTGCAGCGCTGTGACATCGTCTCCCTCTCTCAACTATTTAGCAACGGCAACTGGGCGACCCCTGCGTATTCCAGCCATTTCCCTGAGACAATTGCAATACAAGTCAACACCTCGAGAACCTTCAACTATCCAGCCGAACATGGACCAAGCGCTTCTGCAACTGCGTTCCACCCTGCAGCCTGTGCTGCAACCTGTGACGAGAAGCCTGCCGCCTCCAGTACGAGACTTTGGCATCTCCCTCCTTGGTCATAGATGCTACCAGCATCTGGTTGTTGATGTCGACGTCACCGACACTAAGTGCCTCCAGCTTGCCATTTCAAAGGCCCTTGGTATCGGCATCGTAGCAGCGAGCTCCATTGTCAAGGTCCCGCAGATCATCAACCTCGTCAACTCCAAGTCCGCCGCGGGTATCAGCTTCTTATCCTACCTGCTCGAGACGTCTAGCTATCTGATCAGCCTCGCGTACAATGTCCGAAATGGATTCCCCTTCAGCACATATGGCGAGACCGCGCTCATTCTCGGCCAAAATGTCATCATTACGGTACTGGTTCTGAGATACAGCGGCAAGACGAGCATGGCGGCACTGTTTGTTGCGGCTCTGGCTGCCAGCGTTGCCACGCTCTTCACCGAGACTGTCGTGGACATGGGAACATTGGGTTATCTTCAAGCCGGAGCTGGTACGCTCGGCGTTGCTAGCAAGCTCCCCCAGATCATTGCCATCTGGCAGGAGGGAAGCACCGGACAGCTCAGCGCATTCGCTGTGAGAACACACCCTTGCATTTACCTCAACGTCTTGGCTACGGCGACTAACAAATTGCTTTGTGTAGGTTTTCAACTACCTTATCGGTTCACTCGTCCGCATCTTCACTACATTCCAAGAGGTGGATGACAAGTTGATCCTGTACAGCTTTATTGCCGGTTTCGCACTGAACCTGGTACTTGCTGCTCAGATGGTATACTACTGGAACACGCCATCAAAGAAGGCGTTGGGCAAGCAGAAGGAGAAGGCCTCCATTGAGGCGGCTCCTTCGGCGTCGACCACCGCGACGACGCCGAAGAGCAAGACACCAACCACGCGTCGCCGAGGTTGAACAGCGCAAACAGGTATTCTGCTAATTCCTTTGACGTAACAGATCTGGATTCAGCAATATAGTATCCAATCACGTAATACAACATAGTTTCCATTACATTGTGTACCACGTTCTCTGTGAATCAGACAGGCCTCGGGGTGTCACGTTTGCACTGCAAATGACTTGATGGACCCCACTATCTATGCTTGCATGTTCTCTCATGCGTCTATATACCAAATGACATCAAGCCCCCCATCGCATATATCATTCAGCCTATCAGCCTCACTTTGTGATGGATATCGCTTGGACGGGGCTAGAGCACCCCGGGTTCGCTAGACCCGCCACCGGACCCCCTTTCTCAGCCGCTTCAACCGCTGTCTTGTCTCCCTCCTAAGCCTGTGTGATGTGTGACGATCCAAGGATTCACACACGGGAGATAGCAGGCATTTCGGCAGCTTGTCGGGGGACCGACAGCCGGGACGGAAGCGGACGCCATGCCCCGAATGGGTTTTCAAGTCCATGATGAGCGGCAGTGGACGGTTGGACAGACGAGGTCTATCACACTTATTGCTATCGTGGACCCTAATTCCAGACTTACCTATCTATCGCACGCGCCACCTTGGTGCAGTTCTAGATTTGTTGGCATGTGGAACCCTGGGCAGCTCGGTGACCGAAGCAGAAAAATTACAAGCGTGACCAATTTCCCTCTTTCTGCGTCTCCTGTCAGGCAGTCTGGCTGAGAAACGCGATGACGAACGAGTGAAGCCTTCGAAGTGATCATCAAAGGATAGTTTTTGGCATTTTGTAGCTTACCCCAGCCCTTATGTATGCTCTGACTGAGCTGGGCCGCCATCCAATATCAGGTGGGATGGATGGATGGATGAGTGGAGGATGACTGGATGATCCGATAAGATGAGATGGAAGCGTGTACCCAAATTTGCTAATTTTCCCGACTCGCTGCAGGTACAGCATCAAAGGCTCACCGCCCCGCCAGACAAGTTGCTGATGCAGTGAGCAAGCGGCGCTAAAAATTGCGAAATCGCCGGTAGCCGACTCGCACAACAGGGACTAGCAGAGCTTAGCCCAGTGCTGGTCGTGTGATGTCCCGCAAACACCATAAAAGCTCATCCCGCCCTCGAATTGCGACATCCGGGGAGACGTGCACTAACTTTCTTCCGCGCACTCCAGACCGCATGTACCGTCAGACCGTCTCATATTACGTGGGGCTCTAGCTATTGCGTGCTCTTCTCAGAGGGTTCATCTTAGATCATCGATCTCAGGCTGTAGGGAGCTCGGTCGTGGATTTCTGCTTCTCATTGGACTGGTCGAAGGGAGCACACGTTGCAGGTGGAATTTGACGGCTTCTCAGGGCCCGCGCTGTCCGTGTCCGTTTGGCAATTGGAGCTTTTGTTTTCTGCGGAGGATTTCCTTCTTCTTCCTACTACTTACATCTACATATTGGCGGCTTCTCTGGTCCTGTACTCAGATCTTTGTCTTGTGGGATTTCTCAATACTACACGGGGCTTGGAACTCTTACTCATCGGCGGCCGGCGCGCGCTTTACGGATATTCTGAGCTTCCTCACCAAGCTTTATACGCCGTCTTCTCTATTTTTCATTTCTTCTTTCTTGACTTGGGCCTTTTTGGAGTACAGTACACTCTTGAGCAAAGAAAAGAAGCAGCATGGCACCAGATCTGAACTCTCTGCCGCCATCCCCCCATTTGGGATCGGCTCCAGAGCAGAACGGTGTTGGTGTTGGCGGCGGCCCAGCTGCTGCCGCTGGTGCTGCCAAACCCAAAATGCCAAATATTCTTTACATCATGGCGGATCAGCTGGCAGCCCCGTTGCTGAAGATGTATAACGCTGATTCGCAAATCAAGACGCCCAATCTTGATGCCCTCGCGGCAAAGTCGGTCCAGTTCGACTCGGCCTACTGCCCCTCCCCCCTATGTGCCCCATCCCGCATGAGCATGATCACCGGCTTGCTCCCAATGAAGATTGGCGCCTATGACAATGCCGCCCAGATCTCCAGTGACATACCCACGTATGCCCACTACCTGCGCCTCCGTGGCTACCACACCGTATTGGCCGGCAAGATGCACTTCGTCGGCGACCAGCTGCATGGCTATGAGACCCGACTGACCAGTGACATCTACCCTGGCGACTTTGGCTGGGTCGTCAACTGGGAAGAGCCTGACACTAGACTCGAATGGTACCACAACGCCAGCTCGATCTTGCAGGCCGGCACCTGCGTCCGCAGCAACCAGCTAGACTACGACGAGGAAGTAATGTACAAGTCCACCCAATACCTGTACGACCATGTGCGCCGAGCCGACGACCGGCCATTCTGCTTGACGGTATGTAGACAAAACAGCAAAAAGAAACAAAAACAAAACAAAATCTGGCAAGGACTTGTAGAAAGTACCTGTAAGAATGAAAATTGTGGCAACTCCGTGCTAACAGAACTTCCTGCATAGGTCTCACTTACACACCCCCACGACCCCTACACTATTGAGGAGAAGTACTGGGATTTGTACGAGGGAGTGGACATTGAGCTACCAAAGGTTAAGATCCCGAAGGAAGAGCAGGACCCTCACAGCAAGAGACTACTGCAAGTCTGTGATCTCTGGGACCAGGATTTCACCGATGACCAGATCAAGAGAGCGCGCAGAGCCTACTATGGTGCCGTCAGCTATGTCGACGACTGCATCGGCAAGCTGCTCCAGACCCTAAAGAATTGCCGGCTGGACGAGGACACCATTGTCGTCTTCAGCGGAGATCACGGAGACATGCTGGGCGAGCGAGGGCTCTGGTACAAGATGTCATACTTTGAGTCCTCAGTCCGCGTTCCCATGCTTATCTCCTACCCCAAATGGTTCGAGCCGCACCGCGTCACCGAGAATGTGTCGACCTTGGATATCCTGCCGACAATGTGCGATCTTGTCGGTACCAAGCCCATCAAGGGTCTGCCTATGGATGGCCTATCTCTCCTACCTCACTTGAAGGGAGAGGGGGGCCACGACACCGTGTTTGCAGAATACACCGGGGAGGGAACTGTCAGCCCCCTCATGATGATCCGACGAGGGCCTTGGAAGTACGTTATCTGCCCTGCCGATGGGTCCCAGCTGTATAACCTGGACACGGATCCGTCCGAGCTCAACGACTTGGCCAAGGGGCTCAACAAGAAGACGACTCTTTCTGCCGAGGACGAGAAGGTCCGCGCTGTGTTCGATGCTTTTGAGGCCGAGGCTAGAGCCCGTTGGGACTTCGAGCAGATCACGGAAGATGTACTCGTCTCCCAACGTAAGCGCCGCCTCGTATGGTCTGCTTTGAAGAGGGGCCAATTCACAAGCTGGGACTTCGACCCTATTGATGACGGTCGAGAGAAGTAAGTCTTAGCATGCAACGTTCCACTTCGTAAGATCACTCGTGCTGACTATTTTGCAGATACATCCGCTCTCACATGGACCTCGACGACCTCGAGCGGATGGCCCGGTATCCCCCTGTTGATAAATACGGGAGAGAGACCAGAGTGCTCCTCTCTGACCAGGCCGGATCGCACGGTCAGTAAGCTCAAAGAGCTCCTACCATTCGGGCGGCATCCTCTTTTGGGAACTTATTCTGCCGCCCTAGAATGATGAAGAATATGAAGTCATGAAACTATGGTTCAGGCATGGATAACGGGATCATTGCGACAGCCGCTTTACTTCTTGCCTCTTCTCATCCATAGTGTCTAGCATCACGCCGGACCTTCGCCCTTTGCCGCCTTTTATTTTCACATTTAGCTGCCTCTAGTCACTAGTTCTTATCGGAAGCGAGGCGTCTGTCGGATAGTACAAATAACCTCTTATATATATCTATATCTATATATATATCAAATCGTGGTTGAAATGTTAAATTGTGAGACTATTGTTGTATGCTGCACTAGGTTTCTTCTATAGAAACTTAAGTATAGACGAAGTGTTATATAAATCCTAGCTATTTCCGAAGCACGTAGGATAGGAAAGCATGAATATGACAAGGAAAGTTCATTTTGATTTCTTACATTTTAAATTCTTGAGTAATGAATGTAAGGTCATAAGAGGTCAGACAGAACTGGAGTGCCATCGCCCCACACCGCAATCCTGAATGCTGTAAGGCAGTTAGAAGGATAGCTCGCCCTCCGACCCCACAGCTAAGAGCTCCCCATCATTTCCACACTTCGGAGGACTTCTGGAAACCTATCTCCACCACCCGCTGCCTTCACCAATTGAGCGCCAAGGAGCGCTTTCCCTATTGTTTCTTCGTGACAGAAGTCCCAAGGTCAATCTCCGCAAGCTATGGCGTCGCTCGATCTCAAACCAGAAGAGCTGAAGGCGCTCGAGGCGACGCGCAACCGGCTGCTGCAGCTCTCGAACAGCATCGCCAGTGTCAAGAATGACGTCTACAGCAACAACCCCTTGCCGAATCCGTATGTATTTTACTGATTAGATTCTATGTGCCCTGGAGGTCCCGTACAAATACTAACGTGTTACTTGCGTAGGGCTTCATTACAAGCCTCCTCTCACATCCTCCAGCAGAATCTCTCCTACCTCCTCGATGTCATGACCGAGCACAGCACGCTCTTCCAGCGAGTCGTTGTCCACCCCAGCACAAACTACCCCGGACGCACGGAGGAGAGCATTCTGTTGCAGCTGCTACGGAAGAAGCTCGAGCCGGACATTGAAGGGCTGGTGGAGAAGGGCCGCGAGACGGCAAGCGCAGCAGGCATCGACGGCAGCAGCTTCGTGTCGCGCGAGGCGGCCGAGGCAGAGCGGGGTCCCAAGCAGCGCTATCTCGACGACGATGACGAGGATGTCGAGGACGATTCAAGCGAGGACGAGGGCGCCGCGCAAGAGCCGCTTGGCCTCGGCGACGTCTGGGCGGATTCGCGGGAGTGGACTATGCAGCGGCTGGCAGAGTTTATTCGTGACGAGACAGAGGATCCGTACACGCGAGAGGAGAGGGAGATGGGCGTTGAGAATGTGCGCACAGGCCTGAAGCGCAACTTAGAGGAGGATAGCGACGAGGAAGAAGAGGACGAGGACGAGGAGGATGTCACCATGCTCGATGCGGCCCCTGTGGCGCCGAGCTCAGCACAGCGACCTGGTCAGCCTACAGGAGTCGGGACTGGGCCTCCGCATATGGTGCCGGGTGCGGAGCCGGAACGCATGCTGTGGTTCGCGGCGCGAGGAGACTCAAACATGCCGGCCTACGTGGAGCTAGAAAGCGCACGGCAAGCCAAAGCCGCCGCAGCGAACCGAGGCGGTCGATGACAACAGATAACTACGGATGCGGCCAACAAAGCTTATAATGCTGGCGTCTGGCCACGAGTCGCGATGCCAGTTCGGATCAACTCAAAGTCCACGCGGAACTCTGCCGGTTACGATCCTGCGAATGAAAGATATACGTTATCGTATGAAGCTCGCGGCCTCTCCGCTTGGGCATATAGAATTCATACGGCAATAGCGTCTCGTCACGCCACTTGTTCAAAGTCTATGGCCATAAACAATGGCCGCTTAGGTTATCCAGGAAGTCGATATAGACTTCAATAGCCAAGGAGCTTACAAGACGTCTGCTCACGCCAAGCTTACAGAAACCAAGTTGAAAACAAATGATATGACTTCACAAACGGCCCCTTTGTCTTCCCTCCAATATCACCGTCGAATGCCCAACCAGATACCTTTTTCCTAATTCAGGAATGGGTACGCGAAGATAGAAGGAACACTAATTACCTAGGTGATCAAGGCCAGCAATCCTTCAGCATGAAAGAAAGGTACCGTGCAGGGTAGATCGCTTCTCTTTGTGCGGGGACTAGGCCTCTCGAGTACTAAAGCCCGCAGCTGAATCTCCAATTGCGAGCCCTGAAGCCAATCGGCCGCAGGGTTGTCCAACCCCCGTACCCGGCGGATTGGCTCGTCAGTGGCAGGGCTGACGTTACAGGTCCGCAATCCGCGCCAAGTCCGCAAGTCCACATGTCAGCTTACACATGGCAAGGGGTCCGTACTTGGAGCAAGTAGAATTGCCAGTTGGCTTCTAATTAACGAAAAAGGTATCCTATCCGCTGCGGCGCAGTCTTTCAAGTGCAGTGAAAGTCTTTGTCTCTTCCAGGTCCTCGTAACGTGGCTTGTCAGATGTGATGCATGGCGCCCGGGGTGGGCAATACTGGGCTGGTAGGGTATATAGACTGTAAACTTCCCTCGTGTAAGATCATTGATAACTTCCCTGCTGTTTGATCATTTGTGTGTCGTCAATGCAATTATTCAGTTGAGGTCCTGTCGCTGTCTAGCAGACATCATTGCTGTTCCTCTTCATACTTGTTGACAGACAGACCCTTACGACACCCGTCGATATGGACCTGGACTACGGTGATAGCAACGTCATGCCTTGGGGGATGTATACTTGCAAGGAAAATCAGGACGAAGTCTCCCCAGACATAACGGCACTTGAACTGGAAGCATTAGAAGTCGCCTCCGAGACATCTGAATCGTCAGTTGATCGATCCGACTCTGCCTCAGTGACATCGACATCATCGGCAGAGTTGCACGATAGCGTAAACACCACCCAAGGAAATACAAAACAGAGGCTCAGAGCAACGTTCTTCGACTTGCCCTTGGAGATCCGTCGCGAGATATACAGCTGGGTGCACTTGGCAAGCCCTGTTCAACAAGGGCAGCTCGCGCCATGGTATCCCACGCCGACATACAGTGCCTACTTCTTGCAGGCCGTCATCCCGGGCTTGATAGTCACAAGGACGGCAGAAAGGCCGACGACTATGCACGTCATTCAAGGCAGTGAGGTGCCGACAGATAGAGATCCGCCAACGGAAGCTCGTCTGTTGTCGCCGTTCCGGCCGCTCTCCAGGGTCCCCACATCTCTGCTCAAGACCTGTAAACAGGTCTACGCGGAGGCGCGATGCATTCCCTTTCATGAGAACGAGTTTGTCTTCGTGAACTGGTTCTCATCGGGTCTCTCTGCCGCCCGGGCCTTCACAAAGGGCTTGCAACCCTGGCAACGGAGTAGTATGCGTTACGTGCGGCTCGAGCTGCAGGGCAGCGACTTAGCTGGTGACCGGCTCCGAGATTGGAGAGAAGTGTGCGAGTTCTGGGCAGATGGCCTCAAGGGGCTGCGGCTCAAGATTCTCGTTGATGGCAGGGTGTTCATCCCGCACTTTGGAGTTGGGTATATGGACGACGCGGACCAACTACTCGATGCGCAGGAGCTCATCGGCGACAACGATGAGTGGATTCAGGATGGCTTGAAGAGGTTAGTGGCGTTGAGACACCTGGAAATCGAGCTGGCGGAATCGCAATGGTCGAACGATCAGAAGGTTGAGTGGTGCAATGATCTGAGCAAGAAGCTCAATGCAGAACGCAAGGAGACGGACCAAGCAACGGTCTTGTGTGTTGAAAGGGCAACGAGAAAGGCGTACGAAGATGCCAAAGCTTCCGAGTTGTCGAAATATTGAACATATGAAGCACCAATCCCCAATCAGTCCACAGTCATGTTCCCACGGTAATTCAAAAGGCTAGCAGGCTTGGAAGGCCAACTGGAGACTCTTCGAAGGAACCAGGGAGATCTCTTGAGCACGAGTTGAAATCTTCCGACAATGAAAAGCTAAGATAAACAAACCTACAACTATATACGATTATGCATAAATAGACTCGAGTTCTAGGACGAATGAAATCTTAGGGCTGCAGTAGGGCTGCATGTTTAATCCATACCATTCTGCAAAGGGGTTATTTACAATGGCTCCCTTGTACGCAAATTGTGGACCTCGAAATTTGAACTGCTAATTACTACTGAAATAGAAACCCAGAATACTACCTAGGTATCTTACGAGTCGAATTTACCGGTTTTTCAGTAGAGCAACCTTGAAAAATACTGGAGAGGAACCAGGGCGAGCCGAGACGCAAGAGGAACTAATGGCGGCGGCGCTTCTTAGCGTCTACTCCTGTCTAGGACATGAGCCTCAAACCAAGACATTCACCGCGATTGTCTCACGGGGATGTCGACCATGTGGTAGACGAGTGCCAAGCATCCTTGCAAAGAACTGGGGCCTTGTTAAACAGTGTTTGATATGCAGTCTGCCGGGCCTCTCCCTTCTGCTCGCCCAAAAGTGGCGAGCCTTGCCTGTAGCCGCGTTTGCTGGCGTGTTGAGGAGCCAGTGGTTGGCATGCCCTTCGTCCATGGGCCTGCATCCACACTGGATCTCCATGCCAGCGGCCGGGAAGCTGCAAAGCCTTGCGTGGTGCCGTGGACCGTGGCGAGCGTGGGCTCCCACGGCTATGACACTGAGATTGCAAACATGGAAATTAATGACAAGTCTACCACTCTCAACATGGCGCGCTCTCCCTTTCCTCGCAGCGCAGGCATGTGGCATGCCTTGGGTACCTAGGTGGGAGGTGGGTAGGGCCCCGAGCACTTTACTCTGGTTAAATGGGTACCTACCTAGGTAGCTCTTTCCTACAACTCCAACTGTCATGCCTTCTCGCAGCTTTAAAGTTCAGGTAACGATATTCACAAGGGCCGAACTCCGAAAATATTGGGTAATATCTTTCTTGGCTGAGCGTTGGGTGGTATCTACTTGGATTATTCACCTCCTCGACAAACGAACTGGGCTCGCAGCCTCGGGCTCACAATCTAGCGCTGGGTCATCGATCCTAATGTGCTATCTACATCGCTCCTTAAGTCAGTCATAACACTCGAAGCCTACCTCTTGGCAAGCGAGATACTAACAGTCCAGTTGATCTAGGATAGGGTGGAGAGGCTAAATTGCCTTGACCCTCCGGGATTTGTTATGCTACCAAGGACCATGGCTGTTGTTCACCGACCCTCACGGATCGTCGCCGTGCTACGCGCCCTTCTTCCGAGCTTCGTCGCTGATCTGGTGTGGCCAGAAGAGAGGCCTGTTTGGAAAGTTCATCCAACCTCATATCTCGACGGGCTTCGAGGGATCGCATCTATCCTCGTCTTCTTCTGCCACTATACCGAGAACAACCACCCGTACTTAGTGCCTACCTATGGACTTAACAAAGACCAAACCTCCTCGTGGCTTCAACTTCCATTCCTTCGAATAATTTACTCCGGCCGACCTATGGTCCACATCTTCTTTGTAATATCTGGATTTGTGCTGTCATACAAGCCCATCAAGGCTATTCACTCGCAGGACCTAGACAAGTGTTATGAGATCCTTTCCTCGTCCACATTTCGGAGACCTTTTCGGCTATTTGGGCCATGCATCGTCTCGACTGCAATTATAGCGCTTCTGATGCAGGCCGGCTGGCTGGGCAAGCCATTGCCCATGTATGAACGGCTTGTCTCTTGGAGTGATGCACTATTCCACAACATTACTTGGCCGTGGGCTTGGGATCACGACCTTCGACCTCCGTACGACGTGCATCTCTGGACGATTCCCATTGAATTCGTACATTCATTACTTTTATTTCTTGTCATCCTTGTCTTTGCAAGAGTCCGACTTCTGATCCGACAGACAACGGTGGTGGTTCTGATGGTCTACTGCTTAGCATGTGGGAAGTGGGCGGCTTTCGAGTTCATATGTGGCATGTTCCTTGCTGAGGTCTTCATTCGAAGCTTTCCGGCTGCGAAGGTCTTCGAAGCGCTCGAGGGCGGCGGAGTGGCAAGTCGATGTATCAAAAACCATGTTCTCCATTGTACCCTTCACACTTCCATCATCGCAGCTGCGCTTTTCGTGGGTGGTTGGCCCAATCACGACGCGGACAAAACACCGGGGATCAGCTCACTGCTGGCAGCAACACCGAGCTCGTTTGTTGCTAAGGACAATACAACGGCTCAGCGGTTCTGGTTTGCCATTTCTGCCGCCTTAATGGTCTGGTCCGCTGGTGAGCTGCAAGCAATGCGCAGGTTTCTCAGCCAGCCTTTTGCGCAATATTGCGGCCGCATAAGCTATGCCGTTTATATCGTCCATGGGCCTGTATTGGATATTTTGCAGAGGCATGTCATTGGCGCCATAGCAAAACCGGCAAAGGGGGTCTATGGGGAGCCGGATTTCGCACCAGGAATTCCAGGTCACGGCGTCAAAGGTGTTTTTGGTGTTGAGAATGCGGTACAACGGACCATGAGCTGGCTCGTTGGCCTTATGTTCCTGATACCGATGGTTATCTGGGTTGCGGACTTGTTCTGGCGGTATGTGGATGCCCCAGTTGTTCGATTGGCAAAGAAGATAGAAATGGCCTGCTTGGACTAAGCGACTGCTATCACTGCGGTGTTTGGCGTTTATCTCCGTCCTCTCCAGGCTCAAAGTTGTCAGCTTCCGATGGTGATTTTACCTTGGCCGCTTTAGAGAGACTCCAGCGCACTATAGATATGGGCTGATCGAAGGGCTGGTGAGGTCTGACACTGTCTGGTGCTGACACATCATGCTTACGGCAACGTCATTGTACATAGTTTAGCGATGAAATAGACACGATAAGAGCATCAACCAATGTGAACAACGTAACACACGCGTCTTATGTCAGTTCTTACTACGTCCGGGCTGTTGCCTTGCATCCTGCAGCGGGGACGGCAACGGGATACTCTCTCACCGCTAAGAGTCTCTCCGAAAGGGATGATAATAAGTTATTTATTGCGCTCCCCGGATTGCTGGGGCTGCAAGCCACTCGGCGCACCGAGGTGGGGTTCGTAGATGCTGCTTACGGGCGGAACCTGCACTGGCGGGGTGAATAGCAGCCGTTCCTTGCTGAACTTGCTCCTCAGAACCTCTTAAAGTGTTACGCTATCACCTGACTACGCGATTCTAGGTGACTCACGTAACCAACCTTCCAAGCCTCCATCTGCACGTCGTCACGAAAGAAGCACATTTGCGATAACGGAGAAACTGCATTCACCGAGCGGCTTTAACTCTCCCGAGGCTCTCTTTAAGTGACTCCCCACGAGGCGGCAGAGCAATTTCTGTTGTACTTCACTTCAACTACCGTTTCTTCCATCTCTTTTGCGAATTGACCTGAGGCAGCACCTGCCACAACCCCTCACCTGGCTCTCGAATTGCCCAATTCGGGCCCTGTAGAACTGGACTACACACGCCCACATCATGGAGGCCAGATGCCAATGCGGCGCCGTCAGCTTCAAGACTCCTCACGTAAAGCCCCTGGCGCTCTATATCTGCCACTGCTCCGAATGTCGACGGCAGACGAGCTCTGCCTTTGGCACATCCGCCATATTTCCACGCTTCCAACTGCCAGAGACAGACCTACTGAGCTGTTATACGTAAGTCTTCCTGTCAACCGGGGCAATGCCCAAGTCAAGGTCTTAAGAAGACTGACATTCAGGCCACAGTCGTCCGACAGCGTCGGGACAGACACTCTACTGGTATGTTCAATTGCGTTTCGATAGCTTCAACCAAATCACTGACCGTGACATAGCTACTTTTGTAAGAATTGCGGCACGCGACTACTTCACACCACCCCAGTAAGTACACACTTATTTCTACCCCTAGTATAAGTCTAACTTCAGAACAGGGCAAAAACGTTGTTTCCGTAAAGGGTGGCTGCCTTGAAGGCTTAGATTGGAAAAAAGCCATCCACATCTGGACAAAGTCGGCCATGGTGCCCATCCCAGAGGGCTCCGAGTCCTACTCTGAAGAGTCCTGCACCACAGAATATGCTGAGTCACAGGAGACCCTAGACCAACCCACCGATCTCCGGGGCAGCGGCGGCAATCCGTCCTTGGAGCCAAAGATCCAAGGCATGTGTGAGTTGAGCTATCCGCCTCCTATCTAGACATGATGCTATTGATGTCGGGTCGACATATCACTGTTCTGATGGTTTGGTGCGGCGTCACCGGTGCGGGCTCTTGGGGGTGGTAAATGAATTCTATCATTAAGATCGGCGTCGTAGTGTCATGAGTCGTAAAAGTTAGAGTGAGTCATAGTGTACACGAGAGTAATGCTCAATTGAAAATATATCCAAAGCCCGGTCTACCGTCTTCTCATCCTCACGAGCTCTGTACTAGACCCTCCTCTCCGCTTCGCCTGTCGTCGGCTGGAGACGGCTTTCTCCTCCCGTCCTCGGAGGCGTGCTGCGCATTTGCGACGTCGGAGTGCTTGGCCGGGTCAAACACGTACATTGGGAGCTCTAGAAATACTGTTCGCTTCAGAAACGTCGGGAGCCTTTCGTAAATCTGCGGCGGGAAGGGGATGAGGATGCTGGTGCGGTTGAGATACCGCTGGTAGCCCTCCCAGTTACTGTTGTTCTCATAGCGCTTCTTGGCGCCAGGGCGCTCCTGAAGTGGCAGCCCCGACACAAACATGAGCAGAATGGTCAGGAAAGCCGGGCCCAGAATTGTGGCGTACAGAGCTTTGTAGGCCTGTCCCCGGACATGTCCATCGGCCGCCGGAGATACTGCAATCATGAAAATGGCTGAGAGACATATTAGTTGTGCAATGCTTTATGTGAGAGCGGAACGCTGTAACTTACAAAATTGGATGATGATCTCGCCAAAGTAGTTCGGGTGCCGCGACCATGCGAAGAAGCCCTTGTCGCAAATGGCGCTCTTGTCATTCCTCGACCGGAAGCGGTACTTCTGGACATCGCTGACGCTCTCCATGATGAAGCCGATTGCGAACAACACCACGCCGGCGATGTCGCGCCCCGTGCCAAAGTCTGGCTGCGGATAGCGCGTGACCGCTGGCGAATTGAGCACAGTGACGGGTAGAGAGACGGCCCAGACCCAGAGCATCTGGAAGACCCAGAAGCCCAGGAAGGGGAAGAACTTGTCGCGCTTGTCATCGAAGCGGTCATCTTTGCCGGTCTTGAGGATACGGAAGAGCAGGAAGCCCGACAGCCTTAAGCCCCAGGCCATGATGAACAGCGACGCGACCACCTGGCGCGCATGGTGGTGTCCGCTCAGAGCGAGGGTGAGAATGGCCAGGACGACGAAGTTGGTGCCGCCTGCGAAGTCTATGTGCTCGCGTTAGTGGGAACTACGCGGTCAAAGGAGCATAAAAGTCCAACCTGTTAATTTATCGAACTTGAAGGAAAAGGCTATCGCAAAGAATAGCAATTGATAGCCGACAGTGACCAGCAGCGTGATCGCCAGATAATAGTTATCTAGAACGTGTACAGTCGCCATATTGAATTGTAACGCTATGTTATTCTATCTTCACCGTGCGATGGTGATGACAACGTTCGCTAGTAAGGGCGGAATTGAATCAAAATTAAAAATGAAAAGAAAGAACATCAACGGCTGGCGTTGAGTCAATTGAAAGACTATTCCGAGAGAAAAAATGTATTATATCATAGATAGAGGCTGTGCTGACTGTTCTCTTGGAGCAGTGTCTCTCCAGGAGACTACTTGTCGATGATGGCAGAGAGTCCACATCGTCATCATCGAAGTTTACATGAGCGACCGATTGTCCGGCGGATTCGTGGCTGACCAAGAGCCGAACAGCCACAACGGATCCGGCACTTCACTTATTAACGGTCCAGCATAACGAGGCTTCTTTGGTACTGCACGACCTACTACTCATTCAGCCATGTTGAATGGTTACTGATTGATACTCTTCGAAAGTTGCATTCGCTTTCGGAGTTTTCGACGCTGCAAAAAAACAACAACCAAGTTGCGACCTTCACCGCTTATACGCCAACCACTCGAATCATCTCGAGTGATTCGATTTAAGCTTGTTTGCAGTCGGTGTTTCATATTGAGAGTGTGCGACTTTGGCGACCACCCTTCTCTGTCTTGGCTTCAACCCGGCCGACTGGGTCGTCACATTGCGGCCCACTGTCTCTTGAGCCTCTCAGCGCGTCCTGGAACATCGCGAATTACTTCAGTGCTACCTTTTTGCATCTGCTCCTTCTCATTTCACAATGAACCACGATGCCCTCGTCGACGTGGGAGCACCGCCACTTTTGTGCTTTGAGTGCCGGCGTCCACAGCGCGGGGTTGTTTCCTGTTCCTATTTTGAGCAGCAAAGGGCATAACGGCCGGTACCTGAGCCTAGAAACGAAACCCGGTGATGCGCAAACACACTCGAACCAAGATTTGTCGTGTGTGTACACCCCCGACTTCGCATGATTCTTCATCTGCTTTGCTCCCTTTTATCACGCCACTCCTCTTCGTGGCCCGTTGGATGACTGTCGCAGCTTGCCGTGGCTGGACTGGAAAGAGCCTGTCTGTGCTGGGAGGGCCTGTTTCGCTTAGCCCCCAAGAGCACCCTCCGACACTAGCTGTCAGGGGCCGGTCTCACAACCCCGTCCGTGCAACACGCCTTTTGCCTTTAAGCTTGGTTTTGATGTCGACTCGGGGTCGCACCCCCCTGCAAGAGGCTCATCGTGCATTGGTCTTCTCGATGCCTCGAAATCCACCGAGGGAGAGCTGCTGAGACCGCTGACAACGCTGTCAGTGGATAATGGGCCTGGGATGATGAGATCTCTTGCAGAAGCACAAGCCACTTGTTGCTCCCTTATGTAAACCTGCATCGTCGACTCTCCTGCCCAGAGTGCCCAGAGACCCCTGCCCAGATGGCCCAGGCCGGGTACCCTGCCCTGGCCGAAACTGAACTTGAGCCTCCTCGTCAACATCGTCGCGCATTCGCTCTAGGCTCTTCTCCATAATGCTACGGTTTGGCCTCCTCTCATTCGTCTTCTCCCCTTCTGTGGTTCCAGTTCCATCTCATCTTTCTTTCGCCGGCTCGACCTCCCTTTCTCTTCTCTTTCCCTTTCGATGATGCGTTGCTGAGAGTCCACTTCGAGAGCTCCATTCCTTTACCAGGGCAGCGTTGTTTCTAGTGGCCGTGCCAGCGGTGCGTTTTGAAGCTGGCGTCTAACCACCCTGTCTGTCACTGACCACCGTAGTCGTTCCTTTTCTTCCTTTTCTCTTTCTCAAAAGGTCTTGGCCGTCCAAACTTCGGGACTTTTCCCACTTCTCCGCCAGTTCTCCGTCTTCATGCGCGAGAATTGAACGGCCATTCTTCACTTTCGTTTACCGTATACGTTCATTCAAAGGGTTGATCCCAACATTGCGGTCTTGTTAATTTCGACGGCTGGTCTGTTGTGTCATTCTCTCCGAGCAGGACTGTTGAAGCACTTGTGGTGACCTAGAAGTCGTCGGGCTTCTTGTAGTACAGAATGAGGGCAATTCTACCGAGCCTGCTGCTTCTTGCCGGCTCTCTAACACCAGTGGCTCAGGTAGGTCATCTGGGTAGGGGGGTGATTTGGTCCGTGGCTAATTCTTCACAGGCTGCTGCATTCGATCTGCTCAGCAATCACTATGGGAGTCAGGTGAAGAGGGGGCTGCTCGACCAGATTCTGGGTTCATTGGGACAGGGAAACAGCAACAATGCCGATAACAGCGATAGTAACGGCAACAGAAATGGAAACGGCAGGAATCGAGATGGAGCGGAGACTGTTACCGAGACGAAGATACTTCGACAAACAATCACAGTTGGCGGCGGTGGTGTCGTAGGCGGATTGAATGCGACGGCTGCCGTGTCTACGGTGACAGTCACTAAGGAAGTAGCAGCAGCTGGAGGAGAGAACGCCGCGTATGTGCTTGAGTCTATACGAAGCACTTTATCTGCTAACACGGAGATAGACAACTACAGTTTCTCACGACCACCGTCTTCGAGAAGGGCAACGCGCCCACCACAACGATCACCGCCCTCGCCTCCACTGTGACCCAGACCGTCATGGTAACTATTCCGTGCGCAGCATCGCAAGCTGCCTCATCTGTGGCCGCCGTCTCCTCCGTGGCTTCATCGTCGGTTGCCTCTGAGGCTGCCTCGGCAGTAGCAAATCCAGCAGCTGGCGAGGCTGCTCCGTCTCCCAATGCGGACGGCAATGGAGTTGGTGTGACTACTGTCCCAGTGCCGACAGAGCTCATCAAGACCACTTCACTCGGAACAGTCTCAACGACATCAGTCGCAGTCGCAGCTTCATCCCAGGTAGTCGTGTCCGTGGCTCCGCCAGCCATTTCAACTCCAGCGGCGGCTTCGACTCTTGCCCAGCTTAGTTCACTTTCTTCCCTTAGCTCACTGAGCTCGTCAACAACACTTGCTGCGCTTGTGTCCACTCCACAGGCCGCTGCACCAGGTAAGCAGCTTCTCAGTCCCTCTCATTGGAGAAATGTTAACACTTCTCAGCCGCTGCGTCTACCACCACGAGCCTTCAACCTCTAGGTGGTGCTAGCACTCTCGAATCTTCTCTGAATCTTGGCGGTATTGGTGCATCGCCGACTCCTGCTGCCGCGGCAGCTACTCAAGCCGCTGGTGCCCTGGCCCCGGCCGACCCTGGTGTTACTCCTGCCGCCAGTGTGGCCAACGCTGCCGCTCAGCCAAGTATTGATGTCAGTGGCCTAACCTTGAACAGCGTTTTAACCCTGGGCAACTTGTTGCAGCAGACGGTTCAGAGCGTGTAAAGGGGCAAGAAAGAAACAAGAACAAAAAAAGTCCAATAATAAATGTCCTGATGGAATACCCTATCAGTCTCTGATATCATCATGGACGCGGCGTCTTTAAAAGGTGTTAATGTATTTGGCAAGAAAGCGATCCACTCAAAGCTCCCCTTTTCGTCTTGAATGTATGGAGCAAGCTTGATTGGTTCCTATATCTACGCCTTGTAAATAATTTCAGTTCTAGAGGATGTCAGGGGACGAAGATAAACCAAAGAGCCAGTCTCGATGTTGTAAATAGACGCATTTAGTAAAACAGGCTTTTCCATTGCCATTTTGATTCCGGGTATCATGACTCTAGTACATTGCGCCGAAGCCAGCCGACTCTAAACTTCCATATAGCAGCAACATGCTGCTCTACGATTGACTTGCAGCGTTCATGCTTGCAATTCTCATCTTCTTGGCTTGCCTCTTACTCATTGTCTGCTGAGGGCTCTTGCCCGTATCATCCCCGCCGTCCGCCTTGTCTTTTCGTTTACTGCCAATCACCGGCACTTGATTCTTGTCCGCACCTGACACCTTGTCCTTTCGTGTTGTGTCTTTTCCCTCGCCAGCATTCCCCTCGTCTGTCCGTTCTCCGCTAGTATCGTTTGCGTCTTTCCCAGGGGTCTCCACAATGTCAATCACGCCCCGGAACCCGCGCCGCTTGATGCCCTCGTTCACAACCACGCCTCGCGGATTGACGCCGAGCGCCTCGGTGCCCCGCTCCGTAGCCAGCCCCCACACGGCCATGAGGTTGATCACGTCGGCGGGGGCGCGCACGCTCAGCGGGGCCCTGGCCTCGGAGCTGACGACCAGGCCGCGGCCCTTGCTCGCGCGGACGAGCGAGATGGTGTTGGCGATGAAGTTTGCGCGGGCGCGGGCGTCGCCGGTCAGCGCCTGCGCGTAGCAGATCTCGAAGCGCACGCCGCGGTTGACGGCGGCCATGACGGGCTTGGGGCGGAAGTGGAAGGGGAAGAAGGCCGTTAGGTCGAGGCTGATGAGGCTCGCCTCCGTGATGGACGTGCACGCCGCCTGGAAGCCCTTCTCGGTTGTGGGACGTACGGCGAGGATGTCGTAGGCGGCGGCGAGCGCGGGCAATCGGTGATTGGTGGCTGGATCGGCGACAAGGACTGTGACGCGCCGGAGAGTCGCGGGCAGGCTACTTGAGGGTGACGGGGTGTTGGACGACTGAGGTTGTGGGTGGGATTTGGGGGGAGGCGTGAGCTGGGGGATTGAATTGACGATCTGGCTGGGAATAGGGGCTCCGATCGTGTGGTTGATTGCGACAACATCGTAGCCGAGCGAGGAGCTGAAGCGTAATATTTTCTCGAGGTCAGCTATCTTGGTCGAAGGCGACCAGGAGATGTTGAGATCGTAGAGCATTGTTACGGCTGGCAGAGGGTCACCTCCTCGTCGCTAAGACAGGTCGAACAACGCGAGCCTTGGGCAATGTACTCATGACCAAAAGCCCACAGCCGATCTGGAGTTGTGTATATATGCCACGCTTTGGTGTGAGGTTGTTGTTACAGAGCTTCAAAAACTCGATCAAGAAGCCTAAAAGTTGACTACAGCTCCAATGTGGGGTTGGCTACCGATGAAACGCTAACTAACGCCCCATTGAGATGGCTAGCATACAGCATTCCCTGCACGGTTCTTGGCACTAAAGTTTAGTGGCGTTGCGGGCTGCCCAGCATTGCACAGCCTCGCTATGACACGCAATTCGGCCAAGAGGCCGATCATTCATTGCATTCAATGTCGCCGCTCGCCAAGTGACATCAACGTTTCCTCTCCAGTCGCAAACACCGCACACTCGATCCGCGACCGAACAACGCTGCATCCTACACCATCGCCCGACGATCTCGCTCCAAACCATGACCGTCTGCTCCCAATAGTGTTGAGTCCAGAACGTGAAGGTACGACAGCGATCATCTCATCGTCATGTGTCTTATTTTCACCTGCGGCGAGCACACCTTCCGGAAGGAGGTCGAGGGATATGAAGGCGTCGTCTGTCGCTGCCAAAACTGTGGCAACTACAGCGGCCATGTCATCAAAAGCCATCCGTGGTTCACTTTTTGCTTTGTCGTAAGTGCTCTTCGCGTGATGCTATCTATTGCTCTGCTAATTATCCCTAAACAGCCTGTACTCCCGCTCTCCTTCCACGGATACGAGGACATTCAATGCCACATTTGCAACTTTCCACAACCTCTAGAACACCGGCCGGATGTCCAGGCGATGAAAGGCGGGGGAGGAGGAGTACCGTTACAACATCAAGGCCCGCCACAGGGCTGGCAAGGACAGGGCCATGGTCCCGGCAATAACGAACCGATGAGATATGGTTAATCATGAATATTATACAGCGCATACACAGAAGGGCCGACATTATGCTCTTCAGGATTGTACGCGCATAATGGGAAGAATTGAGATGTAATACCGGGGAGAATTTTCGACTATCTCGATGTTTGCGACGGTGGCATATCTTGCAAGGAATTTCACTCTGACTCAGTACGGAGCAGGTTCAATCACGATGCGAAGTGATGGAGGAAGGGGATATTAGTTGCACACAGCCACATAAGACAATGGGGCAGGACAGGACAGGTGCGGCTCAGGTGCTATGTTGGGACATCATGATGCATCGCAGCAGAGTGAGCAAATTCTTGAGTCTGCAAAGTTTATATAGGGCCATAAGTTCATAAGGCGTATTTGCAAGTACATACAACTCAATTCGATTGAATGTAATGAATGCTAATGCTGCGTTCGAGATCCTAGATCCCTGAGACTTTCAAGGAAATGCATTCAAGCTCGTATATTCGCTTTCATTTTAGGCTTATTGCACGATATGGTCCACTCTGACTTCAACTATACAAGTCTTCAGAACGAATTGTAAATAACAACTATACCTCGCTGTAGTAGTTGCGGTCTAAGATATCATTTAGCTCTGAGATCGTGGAGTGAGCTCATCTATGGAACTAAGTTATCATCTTCGAGCAGACACTTGGTCCGTCTCTAAAATCTTGCAACATGTCGTCTTGAGGTTGGCTTCCTCACTCTAAAGAGTACAAACCGCTCTGAAGCCACCAATCCTGAGTTCCTATTTTTCTCGTACTATATTGATTTCTCGCATCGTTGATACGAGCGATTGTGCAATTTGTCTTCGCGATGAGAGGACGATGGCATATCAGTCACCACTCCCAGGTACCGGCTATCTCTCGACAAGCTTTACACATTCAATGTCTGCAGTCGGGGTGACACAGAAACTAGACATGCAGCTGTTGAATGCGGCTAACTAAGCTCTTTGTCAAAAGCTTGGGGCTGGCTGGTCCTGCAGACAGCTGACTCACGTCCACCTCTCTCATAAGTTAAATTATGAGACAAATCAGCCGAGTGGTAATAAGTACTAAAGTTGAACAGCTTGAGATCCATGGCACTCGGTCAAGTCTTTTTTCACAGCACATTCTCAGTCTAACACGGAGGCTTGGCAATTTATCCATCTTTTGTGGACCAACGTTGCTTTACTTGTGATTCTATTAGAACGGTGCAATTGTCTGCCGATTTTACATAATCAAAGTCGCCGGATAACCTACGTTACTTGCCAGCAATCAGTTTAGGGTAAGGCGCCAAATCGAGTGTATCATACATCTTCTATACATGCTGAGAAACATCAAATCCATAACTTTAGACAAATCAACTCCTCAAAAATACCACATAAAACTATAAAAAATCATGTCTCCGACCAAATTGTTTATGTGAGCATTCCCGCTGATCAGATACGCTATTTTACTGACACGAACCAGTACTGGAGCCACTGGCTACATTGGGGGAAGCGTACTAAACGGCATTCAAGCCGCTTATCCTGAGCTAGAAATCACAGCTCTTCTCAGAAACCCTAATGATTCATTCAAGGCGAGTCATCCTGGCGTGAAAGTCGTCAAGGGAACTTTCGACGACTATGATGTCATTGAGAAGGCTGCTGAAGCAGCCGGCATTGTTCTTCATGCTGGCAATACCGACCACATGGAAAGCGTCAAGGCAATTCTTTCGGGATTATCCAAGAGAACGAAACAGAGCTTATTGCTCCATCTCACCGGAACAGCTTGCATCTCAGATGTGAATGAAGAGGGTTGGGCAGGGAAGTTCAACCCTCGCGTTTGGAACGATATCGATGACATTGATGAAATCTATAACATTCCCGAGACTGTGATCCACCGAGATGTCGACAAGCTCATCACTGATGCAAATAACGATTTGTTGAAAACCATCAGCATCTGCCCACCAGATATCTACGGGCAGAAGAAAGGGGGCGGAACAACAGGCACATATCTGGTGCCTGAGTATGTGAAGGCAATTATTGACCTGAAACAGGCTTTCTATCTTGATAAGGGCGAGAATGTACGTGGAGTCACACATATTGATGATGTCGTGAGCCTTTTTGTTCTCATTCTGGGTAAATATCTCCAAGGTGGCGAGGGCCTTGATTACGGAAAAGAGGTATGAGTTAGACCTTAAGTATCGCCGGAACTGAAAACAGCTGACAACCGAATTATAGGGCTTCTATTTTGCTGCTGCAGATGGCGTCAAGTGGAGAGATGCTGCAGAGGCCATTGCGAAGATTGGCCACGAGCAAGGCTGGCTCCCGGAAGAGGCGCAAGCTGTTTCCCTGAGCCTAGACCAGGTCACGAGCTTGCAGTTCAAGCATCCCCTATTTACCCCAGCATTCATTCTTTATATATGGTGCTCCAATAGTAGGGCAGAGTCTGCACGCGCAAAGAAACTGGGTTGGCAGCCCAAAGGGCCAAGTTTCTGGGAGGCTCTTCCAGAAGACTGCAAGGTTGCGGCTAAGCAGTACGGCAAGGTTTAGAAATAAGTTCTCTATGTGCTTGACCATAGCCAAGTTCTTTATTCGATCCAATGATTCCAATCATGAAGTACAGCATTTTGATCAACTAAAGTCCATCTTTACAGGTCTTCAGTTGGTAATTCCCTTAAGTGAGCATGGCGATAAGAAATCCCAGCCGCCTAGCCTTGAATCCTTCCTTTTGAAATCCTTGAAATTAATGTATTATGCGATGTAAACACATCCGGTGCCCATGCCTCGTTTTTATATTAGTAGCTGTATCTGAAATGAACATTCTCCACATCGGTCATGTCTGATTCAGCATTGAGGCTGCCTTGATGCAGGGATTCCTCAGGCGTCATGCCCATGGCAGCGACGAGGCGATCGCGGCGAGCATTCTGCCAGACATCTTGAATGAAAAGTTAGTATACTGCCTAAATAGACTTAGACTTGACAGTCAGGATGACTTACAGTAGTATCTCCATGCAACCATGACTACAAACTCGAGGCCGTACATGGTAGAACAGACAATGATAGCCGGAATGTAGCGAGGAGCATCTTGGGCTCGGAAAACCTGGGCTCCAATGCAGTTGCCAGTGCAGTATGCGATAAATAGTACCGTTCCGGTAACAGACTTCTTCGTTCGGCCGGCGATATTGGAAGGGACCAAGGTCCAAATAACTTTGCACTCGTGTTAGCATAGTCGCATACAGTTACTGTCGAAGGTACTTACGAGGACCGGCAACGTTGCCGATGATAGTGATGAAGTAGCAGCCCCATCGGGTCCAAAGCATCCCGTCATGGGGAAGGAGAGCCAGGGCGAGCATGCCAGCGAAAGCAGGGATAACCGAGAACATCATGATATAAACTAAAAGATGTTAAGATCAGCGCGGAGCTGTAATGAAAGTGGCAGGAACAACGTACATCGAAGACCAGGCTTCTTCAGTGTGATATAACCGGCAACGAGGAACCAAACGATGGACAGAAGCTGCTGAGGAATCTTGCCCTTGACGATGGTGTCGAGCGCAGTGAATCCGAATGAGACATACACAAGGTTGCCAAAGGATGTAGTACCACCGTTGGGGATGGAGTTGATGATGACAAGGAAGAAGAGGAAGTAGGTTTGGGGGTCGCGGAATGTGGTGGCGACCTGATCCCACTTCCATGGGCGCTTCTCAATATCAGATCCCGTTTGACTCTTGACCACACGCGCCTGCGCAATTCGCTTTTCTTCAGCGGTCAACCACCTGGCCTCTCGGGGAGTTCCGAACACGAAGTAGGTGATGACGGAGAGAACAATGGTAAGGGATCCAAGGAAGAGAGAAATGCCTTTCCACGGAGCCAAGCCGTCAGGGTGGTTCTTAGCCCTTGTGCCAATTCCGTAGTTGATGACTGTCAAATTCATTAGGCCTTATGGATTACCTGTTACGTTTCAACCTGGACTTACGACTAGTTAGGACATCCATCCCAGCATTGGCAGTCCCCCAAATAACAGAACGATGAGCATGTTCCTGTGTGGTGTACCATGACGAAGTGATAATGATTAGTGCAGGGTAAGTCGTACACTCGGCAGCTCCTTGGAGGAACCTTAACACCATCAATCCAGCGAAGTTCTTGGCGGCGGCGATGCACAGAACGAGAACACCTACATCACGTTGTTAGCATTGCCACTTTATTCACTAAAAGGAAAGCCTTACCCCAGATGAACATGCACACAGCAATGGTCGGCCCAACGCTAACACGTTGAAGGATATAGTTGCCTGGTGCTTCAGAAACGAGGAAAGCGATGTAGAATATAGAGGTGAGCCCTGAATAATAAAGGTGTGAGCCAAGACACAGTTGTTTCAAGTCTTTGCCAACTAACAAGAGAATTGTTGCCCGACTAGATGGGTGTCCTCTCTAAGACCAAAAGTGGCCTGGGTAGAGACGGCAACTTTGTCCGCATATTGGGTTCCTGAGCAAATCTAGGTAGAACGCTGCTTAGTCTCGCGAAGTTTCCGAAAAGTTGAATCAATAACTCACCCACATAAGCGGGAGCAAAATGAAATCCGCCTTGCGCAGAACTCGCTTATACTGTTCAGCTGTAAACTCTTCCTCAGCAGCGTGGACAATATCGATAGCAACATCAGCGATTTTGCCATCGTTAATGGAGGCCGTGGCGTGGGACTTCACGGGCTGCATCGGGACGGGCTCGTCGCCCGTCGCAGTCTTGATCTCGTTCGACATGGCAAATAACGAGGAAAGATAGGCTCCCAAGAACGATTCAAGCTTTTACTTGGCAGGAGCCTCAATTCTGGGCAAATTCTCGGCACAGGCTTGGGTTGGTGGATTGAATATATGTATTTTGCGCCGGTCGCCGCCCGGTGTGATCCAGTAGGGAAAGACTGACAGCTTACCCATTGCTCTCACCTTATCTATGCTAGGTCGCTCTAGACGCGAAACCGGTCCCCCAAGTGTCATTTTACACCGTTTCTTGAGTAAGTCGATCTTCCCTTATCTTTTAAATCCGGCACTATGGAGCCGCCGATCGGCCCATTTCGCGGTCGGAGCCCGGCCCGGCCCACTTGAATATTTGCAAGTCTTTTGAGTCACAAACTATGCACAGTAGCCATATCAAGGACGCGTATCTAGATCCTTCAAAAGCCAGAAAATCTTATCTTGGCTTGGTTCTAAGTCCGGGGCAAACTCACTGCACGATTCACAATTGAACTAAGCATCAGAATGGCTACCAATGGCTGCACGACCGGGGTGGAAGATGGCCTCCCCCTGGCCATCGACCTATCCCACCATCTCAATGCCAAGTCTAAGGCTCGACACCCAAGCCCGCTTAAGGACATTATCAAGTTCATGGCATATGATGGCATGATCAGTTTAGCTGGAGGTAGGAAAGCGTTTTGGTAATTGATAGCATTAATATCGCTGACGGTACAATTCGCTAGGCCTTCCACATCCCTCACTCTTTCCTATCAAAGAGTCTGGGTATACTATTCTGAATCCGCTGTCATCTGCCTCAGAAATAAGGGGTCTGGATACACAGAAGCTTCTCCTCAATAACGACCCGTCATGCGTCCCTTCTCTTGATAAATTTTTACAATATGGTTAGTAATCCAATTTCGCATAAGCTAGAAAGCTTCTGACGACGACCAGGCACTTGCGAAGGCAACGCCAGTTTTCGCCAATGGGCTCTTCAATTCACACGAAAAGTGCACACACCTGCCTACGATAACTTCCAGGTTCTCTTACACCCAGGCAACACCAACGCGTGGAGCAAGGTTGTCGGGCTTTTGGTAGAAGAGGGGGATTACATTCTTTGCGAGAACTTCACATACCCATCGTCACAAGCTCTTTGGATTCCTCAAGGGAACTTCGGTGCTCCTATCGCATTAGATGGTCAAGGCATCAGGGATGATTCGCTTGATGAAACGCTATCCAACTGGGAGTCGACACACCCTGGCGTAAAGAAACCCCATGTTCTTTATCTTGTCAGTGTCGGCTCCAATCCGACAGGTGTCACGATGGGCTATGAGCGACGACAAAATGTTTATAATATCTGCGTCAAGCATGGTGAGTGATGGTACTTTTAATATCTGGCCCTTATTTTGCTAATGCATCGTAGACGTCATCATCGTTGAAGATGACCCCTACTTCTTTATCCAGTACCCGGACTACGAAATCGGCTCGAAACCAGACCACAACCTACTTCCAAATGAACAATTCCTCAAGTCTCTAGCGCCATCACTCCTCCAATTCGACTACCAAGGTCGAGTTATTCGTCTTGAATCTTTTAGCAAGACAATTGCACCAGGCCTCAGACTGGGGTATTTTATTGCCAACCCCATATTCTCGGAGCGACTCCTCCGAGCTACGGAGGTTGAAACTCAAGATCCATCTGGAATATCACAATCGTTAGTTCTGTCACTACTACAGTCTTGGACAGACGATGGCTACATCACATGGCTTCAAAGACTTCGTATTGAGTACCACATCAGACGAGATTGGCTCATTGATGCATTCGCGAAGCATTTCACGCTTACTCCAGCTGAGAAGTTCATTGGCCTGAAAGGAGATGGTCTTGTGGCTTCTCTAAGTCATCGGGACGGATCGGGGTCTACGCCAATATTCAACTTTGTCCCGCCAACTGGCGGGATGTTCATTTGGACTAAGTTTCATCTTGCTCAAAATCCTAGATACAAGGAGATCGAATCAGACAAGAGCGTGACTGATCCTGGACAAAAGTTTGCTGATGAGCTATGGACTCAATTTGCTGAGGCTTTGGTGGGTTTCTTCTTCACACTTTGATTTCATCCTAGGTTCGGCGAAGATCTTATCAATGATACGGCCTACTGACCTTATTTTTTTTTTCAGGTTCTTCTAACACCAGGATCCTATTACTATCCATGGCAGGGCGGTGAGGAAAATCCCGCTAAAATAAGGATAGTCGATCCCGCAACAACTTACTTCAGATTTTCTTTTGCAATGGTAACGGTAAGCCAATCGACGTCCCCATGTATTTCCTTGAATACCTCGTACTAAATTTGGTAACAGCAACAAGAAATGGAGCAAGGTATTGAGCGGTTCGCTGCGGTAGTGCGCAAATCATGGGAGTTATAACAAGAGCCCGCTGAACGGGATTATATTGCTCATGGCGAATAATCAGTACACTGTAGACAGGGCTTAGGAATGTGATATGACATGGTAAAGGCATAGCCATATGGGGCTCTTAGATCAAATGGAACTTGGAAAAGTACTTTGTATTACTATACCCCAGCGCCCTCCCTGAGAAATTTCAAAATCTGTCCTTTGATTTCTGTGAGATCTTCTAGTGGCGGAATAGGCTCCTGCTTATATTCCTCCCCACGAGCCATTACGAATCTCGGACTCCAAAAGGCATGTAGATCATCAAGAGGATTGCCAGCAAATGCGGCCATATCAGCAGCAAATCCTTTGGCAAGCCTTCCTGTGACTCCTTGTAGGCGACAAACCTCTGCCGCCTTCTCAGTAGCTGCGGCGATAATCTCTCTATTGCTGAATCCTGCATCAGCCATGGCGAAGAGCCCATCAGCATAGCGCTCAAAATGACAGTGACCAATGCCTGAATCCGTTCCAACAACTACCTTGATTCCGGCTTTACGCATCGATGCAAGATTGCCAATAACGGCTTCCCTGGCATCCCACGGGCAGAAATAATTGTCATGGGTACAGGCAGTATTCATCTTATCTATTGTTAGCGGACAACCAACTACTACAGCAGGTTAAAAGGAGATAACCTACAGTAGGACACACGGCCACACCATACTCAACCATCTGCTTGGCAATTTTATCATCAAACTTTGTCTTACGGTTTTTGGCCAACCAGGAGCAGTGCTCAATGCAGTCAAACTTTGCGTTCACTGCTCGCTCGATTCCCTCAGTCCCGACAGCGTGCGTGGTAATGGGCATGTCATTTTTATGAGCCTCGTCAGCCATCGCATCCATCTCTTCTTGTGAGTAGCGTGCCTCCCAAACTTGCGTTCCCGCTGTCAGGAAGCCACCCGTGGCCATTGCTTTGATGAGATCAGCGCCTTCCGCTTTACGTCGTCTTACCTCCTGACGACAACCGTCTACTCCGGAACACTCGCCGCCCATTGAGCAAGCATGTCCTCCTGGCACCGTCAGGGGCGCATGTGCGCATTGCAGTCGAGGCCCAGGTATTTCATGCTTGGCAATTTTCTCCCGTATTGCAACGCCAGTGGTGCCACGAGAGCCGAGATCACGAGCCGTAGTGACGCCGGCATCAAGGAGCTTCTTGGCATGCTTGGCCATGAGTGGAAGCAGTTCCTCATCAGTCCGGGTGATCTGCGTCGAGCTCAGCCCGGTGGGGTCCAGCTGCAAGTGGACCTGTGATATCTCTCATTAGCCTGGCTTTTCCATGTGTGAACCCTGTCTGGTTAGGCAATTCGGGGGTTCCCACGTGGCAATCAAAGAGTCCGGGCATTAGGGTTACATCTCCAAGATCTTGTACAGGTATGTCTGCGAGACTGCCCTTGATCTCGGACCAGGTGCCGACGCTGGTGATAGTCTCTCCGTCTACAACCACAACGCCATTCTCTAACAGCTTCGCAGAACTGCTTGTTAGGAGGCGCGCGGCTCTGATTGCTTGAACCATCTTGGATATCTGGGAGAATTTCTTTTGATGTAAATAGGATATTCACAGCTCATCAAAATGTAAGCTTCCACCCATTTGCACTATGTCTACTTTATCCTCGTGGCTTATCCACTTTTCGGCGACTACCGAATTCCAGCTCTCTGGATCGGCTCGGATCTCGGATGCTCCAGAAATTATTAGTTTTCCACTCGACATTCGACCTTGCATTCTTAGCCACACACAGACTCCCGGTCACCGTACTATCCATCTTGCGACTAGCGCGCGCCGCTCTCGCATAACACAATTAAAGATGGGAAACACTCTCTCAGCGTACAAAGAGACTGAGTATGTGCTCGATCTCGGTGAAAGAGGGAAGGTGAAGGGAATTCAATACGACGATAAGGCACGACGATATGCTGGGATTCCTTACAGCCTCCCGCCTACGGATGAGTACCGATGGAAGAAACCTCGCGAGCTCCCCGAAAACTGGGCCTTATCTGATCAGGATGGAGGCCCTTTTGACGCTACCCGATTCCGCCCGCCTTGCCCACAGTCGGTCTTTAGTTCTGGTGCCGAGAAGGACCTAGTGGATGATGAACAATACACTGAGGACTGCCTCGTTCTCAATATTTGGACTCCGGTCGAGCATCCGGGAGAGACCAAGAAATGGCCCGTTTTCATCTGGCTACACGGGGGATGGTTCCAAATGGGAACGCCTTCTCAAGAAGAGGGTATGAGTCCAGTTGAGAAGATATCAACTGGTAAGCTCGATGCCATTGTCGTGGTCGTTGGTTACCGTCTAAATGTGTTTGGGTTTCTTGCTTGCGAGGAATTGAAGCGGGAAAGCAACGGCGAATCAGCTGGCAACTTCGGCCTCTGGGATCAGCGATTGGCACTAAAATGGGTGAAAAACAGCATTCACAAGTTCAATGGAGATGCTGGAAATATTACCCTGGCAGGTCGGAGTGCCGGGTCGTATGGAGTACATGCACAGCTGATGTATGACTTCCGCCAGCCCAAGACACTCAGCGAAGGACAGGAACAGCTGTTCCATCGGATCTTCATGTGCTCAAACGCTATCCCAGCCCAACCACGCCCTCTTGCAGAAGCTCAACCTCAATTTGACGAATTATGTACATACTTCGGTATTCCCTCGACTGCGTCCGGTCCTGAAAAGCTGTCTCGCCTTCGACAGTTGAAATATCAAGACCTCGTTAAATCCCTAAGCCACCTCACGCGCCATACCTTCCGTCCCATAACCGACGATTTATTCATTAAGCCCGGGATGATGGAGTATCAGCGTAGTCAGGAGTTTGCGAACGAGTTTCGTCAGAGAGATCTTCGACTTCTAATCGGTGAGGTTCTAAACGAAGAAACATTATACGCTACTTACAATGCTCCTGATGGTGGACTCGAGTCTCTGAAGATCGAAGTGGCGAATTATTATGGCGATAGCACAGCAGACAGGATCTTGAAAAACTACTCTCTTCCGGGACCAGACGCCGTCGACCAGGCTTGGAAAGATTTATTCGGCCGCATCATTTCAGACGGCCAAGTTCGAGCGCCGTCAAGGGCTCTGGTCAAGACTCTGATTGATCATGGCACTCCCCTGGACAAGATATGGCGGTACCAGATTGCTTACCGCTTGTCCTTCATTACTGAGAAGATCGCGCCGAAGTCTTTTGGCGTAGCTCATGCAATGGATAAGCCCTTCTGGAAGTGTGTAGACAAGACCTTACTGTTACCGAGGAAGAACTGACATGAATGACTTAGCTTTTCCATACTCCACGGACCGACGCCAAAAGAGCGCACGCTCATGGACGAATGGATCGAGATCCTTGTGGCTTTTGTGAAAGACGATAAAAATTACGTATTTGGCACAAAATCGGCTGCCGAAATGAAGGTGGCAACATCAGATGCAGCAATCGAAATCGAGTTTGACGAGAAATTTGAGAAGCTGGCTACGCTGGGAGATGTGTTCGCTGGAAAAGCGTAGTTTGGCTGTGAGAAAATGAGAAGTGATTGGCCAACGTCTTGACTTGACTTGGCGTAGGATAGCTGGTGTTTGCTTATGTATGATATTCATGCTTACAAATGTTAGCAAGTCATAAACAAACCACAATTGTGACTCTTGAAACTACTCACGCGGGATCATAGTAGTTATCTTTCTAGCTAATACAACTACATAACTAAGAAGTGATTTGCAAAAGGATCTGTTACGGAAGATTATGAGGAACTTGTGGACTTGTCCGTGCGATACTTGAAGAGCAGAGAGATCGCAACAGACAAGTGAGCATCGATATCAGTTCGTAGCAACCATTAAAAGGGCACAGATGTTATAGAACCAACGTTGGATAAGCCGAAACCCCGTACCTTTGATGCTTTTACTCAACTTATGTTGAAACCTTTGTATTTTTCCTTGCATCTAATTACCTTATATAAAGCTGGGTCTTGCATTCTTTGTTGAAATTGTTTATCTAGTATTAGTTGGAGTTCGTCCAATGGTTGAGACGTGATGATAACATCCTTCTCGTTCAAAAGCATTCGGAGGAAGTCATATGGATGCGTATCGCTGTTCCATTCTCGAGACACTTCATCCAGACCGTCGAGGATGAACAGGGTTCTGGTATATTTGTCCAATGCACTACAGAGTGCGTGGCCAAGAGACTCGCGCTCCTTGACGTCCTTGCGTTCATTGAAGAACCCGAGACGAGACAGAATCCTTCTGCTTAAGATCTGAGATATTACCACGCATATCTAGCAATGAACACACGATGATTCAAGTAGCTGTACTACGTATCATGCCTTATTCCGCCTTGCTTTCCGACGCCAACAAAAATCAAGACTCGCTCAGGACCAATGAAAGGTTTGCCTTTCGTCCAAATCTTTGATGCATTCCTTGAATTGACTGGCCCTGTGGCTTTGAGATCCCCCCTCCCCCCAAGATGGGCCAGAACTTTTTCGCTCTCCTTTTCATTGTGAAAATCCCATTATTATCGTACTGTTGCCAGAAGGACGCGGAGTTGTTGGCGTTGACGCTAGCGTCTCTGCGTCTCTGCATGGCGGACGCGGGGGACTGCTGCGATGGCGTCGGGTGGTGAGACAGACGCGCCGTCTGCCTCGCCGAGGAAGTCAGGTCGCCCCAAGAAGCCTACTGAGAAGATCTGTGAAGCTCAAAAAGCTGCCTCAGCCGAGATACTAGTCAGAACTATAAAAGGACCTGCGCTGGTAGTCCGACCGAATACGCCAGCCGATGAATCGTCGCCGTCTGTGCGGCCCAAGGCTGTAAACCCGCCTGAGTCAACCACCACAAGGGCGGGGATCAGGACCACAGACGTCTGCTTCTTCCAAGCCACACCCCAGGCGCACGTTATCGTAAGTTTTGCGGATCCCCCCGTCTGTTTCATTGGCTTGCATACGGTATCAGAAGAATACCGGCACCGGTACACTTCGGCGATAAGAGGTGATGACGCCCCCTCAGATACGTCGTGCTTGCTTCTAGACGGTCTTATAAAGAGACTAAAATTAACTGGAGTAGTCTAGTAGTGACCTGGTATTGCGTCTGCATCGATACTGTAATCGCTCTTTATCGTGAGATAGCATCTGTGCCGAGCCTTGGAAGATGCATTCTTTGTCTTTGTCTTTGACATTCACGACATTTCTCTTCTTCACAGTCCAATACGTATCCCTCCATCTCCCATCGAGGTTGCCTTGTGAAAAGCCTCCAAAAGTACAACGAGAGATCATTTACCAATCAATCTGTAAGGCCACAGCTCACCGTTTGCAAGTGAAAATGAGGCTGATTGACACTCCAATGGCAGCATGCTAACAGTACCATGTAGAGAGGCGCTTGCTACATGTGGCCAACTAGTTGTGCCAAGATTAGGTAGAAGGGTGGAGGCCAAGGCATAGCTCCCGTCCTTTTTTATGCCTACTTTTCAAATCTTTGTCTATGGCATCACTTCTGGACAATCACAATTACCATAACGAAAAGTTTCGGTACAAGTTTCTTATTTTGGTTTAGCAACCTCTGGTTTTGAGGCTCTGATTTGTCCAAATAGGTCTTGACCGCCTCGATACTTCAGATAATTGTTCCAGAATCTTTCTCGCCCTGAATAATGCTTGATCCTCTACGATTTTGCCACTTGGAGGGGTTCTTCTGAGTCAACTGAACCACTTTCAGATCGGAAGGGCTGTAGTCGGCCACCCACAGGCCGATGAATCACCTTCATTAGCCTCACTATCTACGCTTTTTACAACGCGTTCATTGCGGCCACTAACTGTCGCCCAGTAGCTCCTTAAACGGCAATAATCGACCCAAACAAGATAGGCCAAGTAACTTTGTCTCTGAGGGTAACAATTTATTGTCATGCCCCATGCACCATGGCAATCAAAGGTAAGAAGAACGTCCGACAATCAAAGCTACGATTACAATGGCTGATCCAGAGTTAGTTAACCTGCTCACATTGACGGCCACCGATCTTCAACGGCTCCTCACAGACGGTGTTTTAACAAGTCGAGACATTGTTCAGCAATATCTTGACCAAATCTCAAGACACAATACCAGCGGTTTGATGCTCAACGCTGTGATATCTACACCTAACAATGCAGAACTGTTCCGGCATGCCCAACTGCTAGATGAAGAGCGAAACGCGGGAAGATACGGGGACCTCTCCACGGAGTTCCAATCATCATCAAGGTATTACTGCCTCAAAAATAAGCCACGTGCCGTCATCTTTTCCATCAAAGCCAATATCTCAGAAGATTGGGATGAGATTCAAAACAGTAACACGCTGATAGGACATTTGCACTACCGTCGACATGCCAAGCACTTGCGGGTCCTACGCGTTTAAGCAAGTGTGACGGATCTCATAGGCTACGTAGCGTGGAGCTCCCTTCGTAGGTAGTAGTAAGGTGTAAAAGCAGTAGTATGTAGGTCTCTAAGATACGAGCCTCGTAGGCCGCCTACGGAGTGCTATATATAGTGCTATCGGTGCCAGAATAACCCCACCCGATTGTCACACACCCCCTAGCCTCGTAGATAAGGCTTATATATGAGGCTATTCGCAAATCGGCCCGGCACCACCCCCGAGATCGCCGGGATCGTCGGGATCTCCGGAAGTCGGTCCGGAGGCTCCGGAAGCCACCTCCGAGCGTTGGCTTATATCTTACCAAGTGCTTTTTAGTAGCTTCTTCGCCTATACCGTTAATTAACAAAGGAAATCTATTGTAAGCGATTGTCTACGCCTTTTGTACGTTAGATTGATATTTCGTCGTATAGGAAATATATGCCTTTCGTACGTTAGATTGGCATTTTGCCGTATATATACGTATTTTACGCTTTGGAAAGGCCTTTTGCCTTGGTTATACTATAAATAAAGTTGGCTATTTTGGTTTAAAGCTCTATTCATTGTTTTTAAACTTTTTTTGTAGATCCTTCTACTAATCGCTTCCATAGTAACGTTCCCTTATCTCCTAACAATAGTTTATTAAAAACTCCTTTCCTTTCTCTTTATTCCACTATCCAATGATCATATATTATAATTTAGCATACCCTTTAGACTTTTAAGGGTATGTTTTATCTAGATTTAAATAAGGATACTTATAATCTTCTGTTTTAGACTCTATTTTAGCTTTAGTAGTAGTAGTAGTAGTGGCATAGATCCTTACCAAATTCTGTTGATAGGTTTTATCTATAAATAATAAGTACCCTAGTAGCTTACTATATTCAATAAGCATAAGATTAGGCTTTTCAAAAGCTTTATTTATTATAAGCTTGTTGATTTGCTAATTAGCTTATCTAAAGGCTATTTTGATACTGATTACTATAAGGAAATCTTATATAGCAATCTTTCTAATAATTTCTAGAAGATTATAAGCTTTAGCTTATATAAAAATATCATTTTATTTAGTATATTATTCGTTTGACGATTTGGTAAGTTTAGCGTAAGTTAGTGTCTTATGGTAGGTATAGTAGATATTCTCTTATATATTTGTGTCACAGGTTGCGAACCCT